GCAAAGGCAAGCAGTCCAGTGTGGAATATGGACATCTCAACTGGCATCTGAACTGCTAGCCTAAGCACCCTCCCCTAGAACTTTAGCTTCAAAAGCTGCATCTGAGGGCTGGTGCTGTGGCGCAGCAGGTTAAAGCCCTGACCTGCAGCACTGGCATCCCATATGGGTGCCAGTTGGAGTCCCGGCTACTCCACTTCCAATCCTGCTCCCTGCTGATGTGCCTGGGAAAGCAGCAGAGGGTGGCCCAAGTCCTTGGGCTCCTGCAACCATGTGGGAGAACTGGAAGAAGCTCCTGGCTTTGGATCAGCTCAGCTCTGGCCATAGCAGCCATCTGGGGAGTGAACCAGCAGATGGAAGACCTCTATCTCTGTCTCTACCTCTCTGTAACTCTGCACTTCAAATAAAATAAATAAATCTTAAAAAAAAAAAAAAAGCTGCGTCTGGGGGCCCGTATTGTTGCACACCTCCCATGTGAGTAACGATTAGAGTATCTACTGCTCCACTTCCAACTCAGCTCCCTGCTGATGCACCTGAAAAAGCAGGACAAGATGCCCAAGTGCCTGGGCCCCTGCACCCACGTGCGAGACCTGCAGGAAGCTCCTGGCTCCAGCCTGACCCTGCCTTTGCCCCTGCCGCACCTATTGTGGCCATCTAGAGAGTAAGCCAGTAGGTGGAAGATCTCTTTGTCTCTCCCTCTGTAACTCTACCTTTTAAATAGAAAAATAAAAAAGTTACATGTGTTGGTGTAGCTATTAAGCAAATATTCTAATATTCCCATTTCAAGAATTTCCATTAGCAAGAATCAAAAGGACTGGTCCGCAGTGCACACCTGCCAGAACACTGCTAAATGCAAATTAAGGTGACGGCTGGGTCTGTAGGTAGATGTTCCTGTACACCACTAAGGAGCAGGAGCTGCTTGTTTGAGTTTTTGAAGATGTATTTATTTATTTTTCTTTTGGAAGGCAGAGAGAGAGAGAGAGACAGACAGACAGACACACCTTCTATCTCTTTGCTGGTTCACTCCCGAAGTGGTTGCAACAGGCAGGGCTGGATCAGACCAAAGCTGGGAGCCTGAAGCTCCATTCTGGTCTTCAACATGGATGACAGACACCCAAGTACTTGGGCCATCATCTACTGATTTCCCAGGTGCATTAGTGGGTGCCGATCAGAAGTGGAGCAGGGGCCAGTACTGTGGCAAAGTAGGTTAAGCCTACGCCTGTAGCACTGGTATCTCATATGGGCACCAGTTCATGTCCCAGCTGCTCCACTTCCGATCCAGCTCTGTGCTATGGTCTGGGAAAGCACTGGAGGATGGCCCAAGTGCTTGGGCCCTGCACCCATGTGGGAGACCTGCAGGAAGCTCCTGGCTCCTGATCAGCCCAGCCCTAGCCATTGCGGCTATTTGGTGAGTGAACCAGAGGATGGAAGCCTCTCTCTGTCTCTCCCTGTCTCTGGCTGTAGCTCTATCAAATAAATAAATCTTAAAAAAAAAAAAAGTGGAGCAGCTGGGACTCAAATCAGTGCTCATATGGGATGTGTCATAGGCAGCTGGTTCAACACATTGTCGTCCCACAATGCCAGCCTCATTTTTTTTTTTTTTCTAATTACTTTACTTGAAAGAGAGAGGGAGAGACAGAGGATCTTCTACCCATTGGTTCTCTCCCCAGATATCTGCAATGGCCAGGAGCCAGGAGCTGCTTCCAGGTCTCCCAGTGAGTGCAGGGGCCCAAGCACTTAGACCAACTTCTGCTGCTTTCCCAGGCCATAGCAGAGATGCTGGATCGGAAGTGGAGCTGCCGGGACAAGAACCAGTGCCCACATGGGATGCCAGCTACCCACCACATGCGAAGGCTGGCCGCAGGAGCTGATTCTTAAGAGACTTTCATCTCCCTTCTGGAGAGAAGCAATGCAGCAGGATCACCATACAGCAGTTCGCTCAGCTCTATCCTCGAGAAAACAATCCAGTTTTCCTCAAATGTTAACAGTGGCATTTTCCTTTCTTAGATAAGCCCACTGACCTCACTGCACGAACCAACACGTTAGCAGTCACACAACGTGGCCCAACACGTTCGCAGTCACGCGACGTGGCCCAACACGTTCGCAGTCACGTGATGTGGCCCGTGTGCGGCAGCTGAGTCTTTTGAGTCGTATCTGTAGCTTGTGTACCCCGCCCACACTCGGCAGCAGGTGGTTCGTTCACCGAGTTGCCAAGGCCTCCAGTCTCCCAGCCCTTGAATGAGGACAGCGTCCCTGTGCAAGCCGGAGGTGGTGCTGTTTCGGTGCCTGACACTACGCAGTCCATCTGTGTTAGTCAGCTCGGTGTCACTGGGTAACAAAGCAGCTGGCTTATTCTGGCTCGCTGTTTTGAAGGTTCAGTCCATGATCAGGTGGGCCCCTGTGACTCTGTCATCTGATGAGGCAGGGGGATGGCAGTGGTGGATGCCATCAGCACGTGGTGAACCAGGAAGCAGGAGGGCTGGGCTCAGCTCAGGCCTTTGTACTCTCCGGAGACCTACCTTCCCAGGGCAAGCCCTCAATGGCCTGAGGACCTCCCTCTAGGCCCACCAATGGACACCATAACTGGATTAAGTCCACCTTCTTAGTGCCTTTAACACAAGGCTTTGAGAGTGCCACCTGAAGAGTCATTTATTTGAAAGGCAGAGTTAGAGAAAGGGAGAAACACAGATCTCCCAACTGCTGGTTCGCTCCTCACTTGGCCACAACAGCTGGGCCAAGCCAAAACCAGCAGCCTGAAAATCTCCCCATCCAGGTCTCCCACAAAGGTGCAGCGGCCCAGGCACTGGGGCCATCTTCTGCCGCTTTCCCAAGTGCAATAGCAGGAAGAGAAGTAAGGAGCCAGGACTGGAACCAGCACGAGCGTGGGATGCTGGCGTCACAGCGCCACTTAACCCGGGCCCCACAACACCCATGGTCTGCATGAGCTTGGTAGCACATCCTATTCAAACCATGGCAGCATTTTCATGAGTCACATTTGTTGACAGTCTACAAAAACAAAACAACTCAGATTGCTGGAGGGCCCACAAAGTCTCAGGTGTAACAGCTGTTCACTTTCTAAGAGCTGTGGCGCCTGCGTCCCCCTGCACCAAGCCTCTAAGTTGAGAAGACTTTCCCTGGCTTCCGTCGGTCTGGTTCGGCCCACTTCCATTAGCTGGAGCAGCGGCAGGAAGCCGTCATCTGGCCCCTCGCTGTACTACTGAAACGCTTTCACGCTGCCTTCTGAATCCGGGCCGGGAACACTGAGACGCCGATACAGATCCCACCCAAAAGTCGAGTTAGACACACACATTTCACACAGGCCAAAATAATTCCAAAGTTTGGTAATTTTAATGCAATGTCATTGTTCAAGGTCATAGGGGGTGTATTAACTGGTTCACTTCTTGAAGAGAACACTAACGGCTTCTATCTTACGTTACTGTGTCAAATTTAAACATGACTCTTTGGCCCTTCTTAAAAAACACTTCGTTTACACATTTTGTTAAGATTTTTCTTTTTTTCTGGAACATTCTGAAACCTTCAACTAATCTGGAAACCTTTGATGATCTGCGCACTGCTCTGGGCACGGCCTTTGGGAGCTCTGTCCCACCTGTGCCAGAAGGCTCCATCTCCCAGCTGGTGGTGGGGCTGCTTGATGGGAGCAATCAGAGAAATGAGGAGCACGCGCTTTGTACACGGCTTCTAATTCTCTTCCCTAGCGCAGCAATCCCCTCGGCTTCCTCAAGGTCCCACGTGCAAGACACGCCCTCAGCCCAAACAGCAGGGTTCTAACTAGTGTAAAAATAGATTTAAATAAAATAGAATCTCTATAGGGAAGAGAGTTAGGGTCTGCTTTGCATTCCCTCTCTTGCTCCAGGACAGCTGTGATTCAAGCCCAGGGAGGACTTGCGGAGTCGTCTGCCCTAGTGAAAGTTAAGAACATCTGAGTACATTCATTCTGCAAAGTTACAGGGAACATTTTGGGGAAATGCTGCAGCATGTCCCATAGAGATGGATGGCACTGGGGATCCAGCTGGTGCATTAACAAGTAACATGTAAGACACACAGGACATCAAAGGGGACGAGGCCTACTCACAGGCTAAACACTTCTGAAATGTGGTCATTGGAAACCTTTGGCTAATTATAAAGCAGAAAACAAAACCCATCATTTAATGGTTCATCTTGTTAACCTATCCAGCCACCTCACCTAGAAGCGAACTTCCGACAAGGGTCTGAACCGATCTGGCCCCATTTCTGTGAGTTACGGAGTGTCGGATGATCATGGCTCTGGAGAAAGGACCCAGCCTTCGCTGGCCAGAGAGGCAGCGCATGACTGCTGTGCAGGGGCTCTGCGGGAATCCCCACTTTAGCATTCAGAATCAGCCTTCAAGCATACGTGGAATCTGCACAAGCTCCCTCTAGCTGCAACCTGAACCTGCAGCCTAATCTTCTGTAAACACTCCGAAAACACTGATACCAGCAAAACGCATAATTAGCTCGTCAGAGGCCTCCTCCATCTCCAGAGATGGTGAATCTCCCTGCTTCTTGTTGCTAGATGCTAGGAAATCCACTCTGAGGTCTGAGTGTTGGAGCAGCCATTAAGCATCCTTTCTTATCTGAGGTTCATAATGATGTGTGGGGTCACCAAAAATAAACGAAGTGCAACTGCCACCATTTTTTCTGACACTGGGTCTACTCAGTCGGCCCCTGGTGATTTGTGCTTTCTGGCTAGCCTGAGAGCAAGAAGAGATGGCTGCTGGCCACAGGCCAGTGCCGGCTTTACAACCCCAGTCTCTTTTCATCCAACATTCAAACAATTCTTTAAAGGAGGGAGGGGAGGAAGGGAGAAAAATACAAGGAGCTTAGCCCAGGAATTTTTCTAAATTTTTCGTTACCCAATGGGAACCACCTTCAAAGCAGCTGTGGCCACCTCAGGGAGGTGTGGTGCTTTAGTGCTAGTTAACAATACCTTTGAGGTTACAAAAAAAAAAAAAAAAAAAAAAAAAAAAAAAAACAACCTTTAATGTCTTAAACCTACCCCAGAACTGTATGTCAAGAATACCAACTCAATAAATACAAGAGAAAAATGAACAGCAGAGTTGGGACATCTACCAAGCAGGAAGGCAAAGTGGTCATCAGAACGTCTAAGGTTAGTGAACTATTCAACTTTCCATCAGCTCTCCCGTCGGCACCCTCTACATTCCACACACCGCACACCAGCAAATGAAAAAGCCGAACGACTGTGGCGAGATCCTCACTTGCACTTATTAGGGCCCACCCGCACAGGGAGCTGAGGGTCCCGGCACACCCCCGTCTCAGGAGGTCTGTCTCTCGGAAGGTCACTTGCCTCTCTTGCTACGGCCCTTCCTGGAGGGCAGCTTCCCAGGGCCCCCTGACGAGGAGGGGCTGGAGGCAGCAGCCACGGGGATGTTGATCTGTCCCTCCTGGATTTCCTGGCGTGCCTCAGCAGGCAGGTGGTTGATCTTCTGCTGCGCCTCCAGGTAGAACATGACATCACGCAGCTGCTCCTGGATCTCTGTTATCTGCAAGTCTTTTTGGTCACAGGTCTCCTTCAACACCCTCTCCTCCTCCTTCAGCTTGTTCTGCAGGAGGACCTGGTTGGCTCGCAAACATTTGTTCATTTCCTGCTCCTCTTTAAGTTCAGTTGTGAGTCTGGCCACTTTTGTGTTTAGCTGAGTGCACCTTTTGCAAAACAAAGGAAGACAAAGCACATTTTCATTTGCTGACACAGTCCTCTTTCTGCTCTGGGATTGCACAGAGGAGCCACAGCCTCAGAATCCACTGAGAACAGACCCCTCCCTCCTGCGCTGTTTGCCGACCTTGCAGTCAGCTGCACAAAGCAAGAATTTTGCTCCAGTTAACCCAAGTGTTCAAGATACTTTTTGTTTTAAGCATCAGAAGTTTTCCAATAGCAGAAACTACTCTGTGACTCATGGCAAAACTTCTGCTCCTCTGAGGTCAGTGGTTAAACAGGTGCCTTAGAGACAACTGTGATAAGGAAGTTATGAGGATAAGTGACATTCTTGAAGAGTCAAGTGCTCTGACCTCACTGCATTTGCTGGGGAAGGGAAAAAACGTGCTTATTCTAACCAAAGGGTTTTCAGGAGTGTCCCATTCTTGCTGCCCAATCTTACTCATAAGGGAGGAATTACAAATTAAAACACCATCTGAGATACCATTTTTATGTATCAGAATGCCAGGGAGCTTAGACATGGGAAAAGAGGCACTCCTACACACTGGCACTGCAGCATCAGCTGGAGAAAGACTTTGGAAGTCAACTTGGCAATGGCTGCAGGAGGAGAAAATTCACAAGTCCTTTGACACAGGTGAAGTAGACAGGCATACAGGTTAAAATTGATCAGACTAGTGAACTGGAAAACCACGCCCCTGTGTGACCTCATGCTCCTACCTGATGCCTTTGCCACGCCCCTATGTGGCCTCATTCCCCTACCTGGCCACACCGGGGTGCCCACCAGCCAATCAGGTTAATTAACCACTCCCCTTTGGAAGTGGGTTAAAAGCCTGGGGCACCGTGTGCCCGGCCCTGCTCTTCTTCCCTGACCTCTTGCCAGGACAGGGCTTGCTGTAGCCCTGCGCCTCCAGGGTGCGTGGCCTTTGGGCCATGTGCTCTAGGCTTCCCGGCCTAGATGCTCATCCACGTGGCTGGTTCCTGTGCTTGGTATGAACCCCTATTCACCTCTCTCCCCTAAATAAAGCTCTCATTCTCTTATGCACCTTTCTTACTAAATAAAAGCTTAAAACATACCATGCTGCCTCGTTTATCTGTGCCGGTATTTAGAATTCTTCTCTAAATACTAGGCAAGAACCCTCTCGGGCTTATTAATATCGGGGATTTGGTAATAAGTCTAATAATCGTAATAATCGTAAGGCACCCCAAATTCCGGTAGCGCATGTGGCACCCCGGATAGCATTTCTAGTGAACTTTAAGGGGCCACATTTCAGCGTAAATTTCAGGGGGTGTTGTCTGATTTCACAGGTATTCTATATAATAAAAATATTCAGGACTATGCAAAAAGACACCTGGAGAAGATGCTTAGCACAGCACTGACTGTAACAGTGTAAGACTTGAGCTCACTTAAGTGTCTATCATCAGGGAGCTGATTAACACTGGATGGGCACGGGCAGAGTGGTTAAGATGCTGCTTGGGACATCCACGCCCCATATCAAAAGTGTGCCTGGGTGTGTCCTGGCTCAAGTTCCATTCCAGCTTTCTGTTTCTAATCTGTACCCTCGGGGCAGCAGATGATGGATCAAGTACTTGGATTCCTGCCCCAATGGAAGACCTGGACTGAGTTCCAGGCTCCTGGCTTTTGCAGGTCCAGCCCCAGTTAGTGTAGGCATTTGGGAAGTAAGCAGCAGATGGAAACTCTGTCTCTGTCTCGCTGCCCTTTAAATAAGTAAATTAAAGTGAAAATTACTATGGTGTATTCATATATTGGAGCACCAAGCAACTGATACAAAGAACATGAATCTGAATGTGCAGTATGAAAAAAAAGGGGCCGGCACTGAGGCGAAGCAGGTAAAGCCACCGCCTGCAGCGCCGGCATCCTGGGTGGGCACCGGTTTGAGTCCCGGCTGCTCCACTTCCAATCCAGCTCTCTGCTATGGCCTGGGAAAGCAGTAGAAGATGGCCCAAGTCCTTGGGCCCCTGAACCCACATGGAGACCTGCAAGAAGCTCCTGGCTTCAGACTGCCACAGCTAGGGCCGCTGCAGCTAGCTGAGTGAACCAGCGAATGGAAGACCTCTCTCTCTGCCTCTCCTTCTCTGTGTAACTCTTTCAAATAAATAAATAAATAAAAAGATTTTGTGAGACATGTGGGCAGAGCTAGAGGTCTAGAAGACTATTCACTGGCACCATCGATACTGGCTGCCTCCAGGGCTGGCGCTGTGGCACAGTGGGTAAAGCCGCCGCCTTGACCCACCATCCCGTAGCAGAGCACTGGTCTGAGTTCCAGCTGCTCTGCTGCTGACCTAGCTCCCTGATGATGAGCCTGGGAAAGCAGTGGAAGATGGCTCAGCTGGCTGGCCCCTGCCACTTGTGTGGGAGACCCAGGGAAGTTGGATCAGAAACAGAGGAGCTAAGACTCAAACCAGGCACTCCGATATGGGATGCAGGCACCTAACTGCTGTGCCAAACAGCAGCCTCTCCATACTATCTTTGCAGTCTTTCTATAAGTCGAAATTTATTCCCAAATGTTTCCAAATAGTTTTTCCTTAAAGACCAATTACTCCCCCTCAACAGACCAATTACTTGCTTTAAATATATATTTTTAAGCATAAATGAGATAGTAATTGCACATTTATGGTGTACAGTTTTTTTTATCCATTTGTATGAAGGAGGTAAAAAATACATTTTTTTAATCTAATTTAACCCACAGGGGTTGGTATTGTGGTACTGCAGGTTAAGCTGCTGCCCGGGACCCTCACGTCCCATGAGCACTGGTTCCAGTCCCAGCCACTCCACTTCTGAACCAGCTCCTGCTAATGTGGGAAGCAGCTGATGACGGCTCCACTGAGTAGCGTTTACCCATGTGGGAGACCCAGATGGAATTCCTGGTTCCTGGCTTTGGTGTGGCTCAGCCCTGGCTGCTGCGGGCATTTGGGAGTGAACCAGGGTAAGAAGATATCTCTGTCACTTGCTTTTCAAACAAATTAACCTTTAAAAATACCTTAAACTGGAAGGATCATTTCAATCAAAAGCAACTTTCTTCCCTAAAAAACAGCCACGGGGGCTGTTCCTGCCACGTGGTTCGTGAACGTTTGCCCCATATCCACTCTCGCCGACCTCTCATTCCCGCTCCAGGACAGAGCCGCGGACGGCGACGGCTCAGACGGAGTCTGTTCCCTCACTGCTAGTTCTCAGCTCCGCGGCTCAGAGAAGCTGCAGGCTCCTGACAGGAGGGCACTGCTCGCTGAAGGTAAAACTAGAAGACACTGCAACGGGCCCAGCGCACAGACACCAGGAGGGAACGCTGCATCCCCCGCGGGCACGGACGCTGCACGTCTACGAGCAGCCACGGTGAGCCTGCTCGCCACTCAGGGACACCCAGGAAAACCTGGCGATGAACACACTTGGAAGACAAGGTGTTTCCAAAGGAACGCAGGCGACACCTGCTTACAGAGCCCATCACGGTGAAACGGTCAGCCAAGGCACACAGCGGCTGCACCTACTTGCGCTCCACAGACTGCTTCTCTTTCAGGAGGTCACTCAGCCTCTGCTCCAGGCTGTCGCATTTCTCGATTGTTTCCTTAAACTTGGTCTTCATGTTGTTAATCTGAAAGGACAGAAATCCTACTCATTTGTGAAGCAAAACTGCATGCTCTCTGGGGATAGTCCTAACTCCCCCTCCCCAATTATCTGAGCAAAATTTTTACAAACCAACTTTAGAAGTCCACAATGATGAATTCCAACTTTGATCCCTTCTTCTGCCCTATGTGAACATTGTATGAGGCCCCAAAACAAGAATCTCTCCAGGGAAACCCAGAATCAGGACGGTTTCTCCTTGTCCACGCCCTACGGCTGGGGTGCTACTGGCCACAGGACTGGTCAGGAGGAGGACAGTGGCAGGACAAAGGGTTGTGTCGTTCACTAACTATGGATAAACAACATTTGTTGCCAGAAAACAAAGCATTCTTTCACGCAGCTCAAGCTTCCTGCTTGGGGCTGCCCGCGCCTCCATCACAGCCCTACCTAAGAGTAAACTCGGGGTTCAGTGTTTCATTTCCCTGTCCTTGGCCTTAGGAACGCGATCAATCCTAGACTCCTCCAGGGTGGAGAGAACCACCAGCGGAGCCCAAGGGTCTGCATGAAGCACTTCAGGCAGCCATGCCGGATATCCTGCAGGAAAAGCCACTAGCGAGGCGACAGTGTCGAGTCCACAACTTGACCCTGAGTGGCAGCGACTGTGTTCTGCCTCTGCTGAGTGTTCCCCGAGGCCGACTTTCCCTGCGGTGCCACAGTCAAGCCCCGTTAAGGACTAGTGAGTCAAGTGACTTCAAGCGCCTCTGGAAAGACACCTCTATGTTTGGTAGGTTCTTGTAGGAACCTTACCAATCATTTTTCACTACAGATCATTTTTAAACTGGAGTTAAGGGACCAGCACTGTGGTGTAGTGGGTAAAGCTGCCACCTGTGACACCGGCATCCATATGGGCACGGGTTTGTATTCTGGCTGCTCTACTTCTGAACTGGCGCTCTGCTAATGGCCTGGGAAAAGCAGTGGAAGATGGCCCAAGTGCTTGGGCCCCTGCCACCCATGTGGGAGACCTGGACAGAGTTCCAGGCTCCTGGCTTCAGCCTGGCTCAGCCCTGACAGCTGCTTGGGGAGTGAACAGGCAGATGGAAGAACCCTCTCCCATGCCAGCCCCCCCTGTAGCTCTGACTTTCCAATAAATAAATAAATCCTAACAAAAAAGGAGTTAAGAATCGATTTTTTTCCATTTATGGACATACTTGAGAGCTGGACCCCGCCTGCTCAGCAGCAGGGCAGTCACGACCACCACAGAGGTGGCCCCAAGCTCAGCTCTGCAGCCCCCATCTGAAGGCTCAGGTGTTGGTAGGGACCCACAACGTCACTAATATTCATGTGGCGATTTTTTTTTTTTTTTGGACAGGCAGAGTGGATAGTGAGAGAGACAGAGAGAAAGGTCTTCCTTTGCCATTGGTTCACCCTCCAATGGCCACCATGGTCGGCGCACCGCGCTGATCCGAAGCCAGGAGCCAGGTGCTTCCTCCTGGTCTCCCAGGCGGGTGCAGGGCCCAAGCACTTGGGCCATCCTCCACTGCCTTCCCGGGCCACAGCAGAGAGCTGGCCTGGAAGAGGGGCAACCAGGAAAGAATCTGGCGCCCTGAGTGGGACTAGAACCCGGTGTGCCGGCGCCGCTAGGTGGAGGATTAGCCTAGTGAGCCGCGGCGCCGGCCTCATGTGGCGATTGTAAGAGTGTTTATCTAATATTAAGGGAATTACCGAATTAGATAGTGTTCCACACCAGAAAATGATTTCTAGCGCCTAATTATACACAAACCCTCAGGGGTCCCTTGGTTTTCAAACTACCTTCTTTGGAACCTTCAGGGTTCCTTGAACTTTCTGGAGAAAAGAAAAAAACCACACAGGTAGAGTTCCAGGCCCTGCATCCGAGTTCCCACCAAAATCGCGCTACTCTTCTCTTTTACACGCCAGAGTGGTGAATGGTGGCCTTTGAAAACGTGGGAACTGCTGCCCCTGCCCAGTGAAACAGCAGGTGAGCACTGAAGCCCTGGTATCTCTGCCCAAATTTATTTCCTTCTATTTAAAAGGCTCAACACCATTTTGTTGCCTCAGAAGTTCACATTCAGCTCCTCACAGCAGCTGTTCCTAAGCTGACAAACCAACTGGCTGACTCAAATTACAAACTCTTATGTATGTACTTCTGATTTTTAAAATGGAATTACACAAGGCATTAGAAAACCTGATTGAAGTAACAAACAAACCAACCCTCCTAAGATCCTCCCCCAGTACCCAGAACACTCAGGTCTTGAAATCCAAGGTTTCTTTCCAGAGGCAAACAGTTCTGCAGTTGTTATCGGGCTGAGAAGGGACGTGTCTAGGATTCCTTCTCCCTGCACGCTGCCTCCCCCGCCCGCCACACTGCCTGGCCACAGGCATTTCAGCCGTCACCGCACCAGAGACCTACTTCCTCTGCCGCGTCCTTCTCCATCCGAACTATCTTGTTCTCCCAGTAGATTCGCTGAGATTCCAGCTGACTCGTTAGTAAATATGAATACTAGAAACAGAAAATATCAAAACGTAAGTCACTGCTGTCAAGTTTCTGAAATCTAATTAAAGGCTGACCTTTCATGATCTAGAGAAGAATATGCAGCCATGAGAATGAACATGACACTTTAGCTCCAACCTGCTTAACCAGCGCTGGGCTGGGCAACAGACGTGACAACTGCACTTTTATCCTCCTGGGGCTTACGTTCTAGCTGGGGGAGTGTTCAGTTATAAGAACTGACTCTGGCCAAGCTGACTCTAAGAAGAACTACAGGGGGCTGGTGCTGCGGCACAGCGGGTTAACACTCTGGCCCGGAAGCACCAGCATCCCATTTAGGTGCCAGTTCGTGTCCTGACTACACCACTTCTGATCCAGCTCTCTGCTGATGGCCTGGGAAATCAGTGGAAGATGGCCCAAATGCTTGAGCCCCTGTACCCACATGGGAGACCAGAAAAAGCTCCTGGCTCTTGGCTTCAGATTGGCCTGGATCCAGCCATTGTGGCCATTTGGGGAGTGAACCAGCAAGGATGGAAGACCTTTCTCTCTGTCTTTCCCTCTCTAACTCTTCCACTCAAATAGATAAATAAAATCTTTAAGAAGAAGCGAAACAAAACAACAAGAACTACAGTGATCATGCATAACTCAAACCCACTCATCCACTTACCTGCCTCTGGGGAGCTGTCCTGCCCCTCACAGCTCACAGCCACCTGTCTAGCACTAACAGCACGTCTTAGCACACCTGATCACCGCCATGTGCCCATCACCTGGACTGCATCTCTACCTCAGTGTCTCCAGTGCTGGCACATGCGGGGGTTACGGAAGATTGCTGCCTGACTGCATGAATGAATGAAGCCCTGGGTAAGGACAGGGAGGGGATGGACAGTAAATGACAGTAGGAGCTGAGAAGGTTGGAGCTACAAGGGCTCTTGACAGACAGGAGGAACCTGACAGACCAAGCTCTGATCCCAGGGACCCACTGGACCACAACAGAGTGCTGGATGCTTTGGATGCTTAGAATCGCTTCAGAGATGAGCTGCAACACTGATGAGGCTGGGGTGCCGAGGACAGCAATGGGGTCTGTGCGAGGTGGTGGGGTGTTGTGTTGTGCAATGTGGGGAAGGGTAGGCCCAGGCCAACAGGGAGCAAGAGCACATCCCTAGTTTAGGGGTCACTCTAGAACAGCAGAAGTGCAGGGAAGGGATGATTGGAATGTCTGGGCCATAAGGACGTATGCTCCACAAGGGCGGGGAGTTCGCTTCGTGCCTGTAGGTGGACAGAGTGCAGCCCTCAATAAACGCCTCTTGAATACAAAATGCTCACACACATTCTCAATGTGGAAGAGTTACTCATTCTAAAAATGTAACAAAAAGGGTTTTATCTTTTTCATACCAGTACCATATTTTATTTATTTATTTATTTTTATTTTTGACAGGCAGAGTGGACAGTGAGAGAGAGAGACAGAGAGAAGGGTCTTCCTTTTACTGTTGGTTCACACCCCAGTGGCAGCTGCGGCCCACGTGCTGTGGCCGGCGCAATGCATTGATCCGATGGCAGGAGCCAGGTGCTTCTCCTGGTCTCCCATGGGGTGCAGGGCCCAAGCACCTGGGCCATCCTCCACTGCACTCCCTGGCCACAGCAGAGAGCTGGCCTGGAAGAGGGACAACTGGGACAGAATCCGGCGCCCCGACCGGGACTAGAACCTGGTGTGCCGGCACCACAAGGCGGAGGATTAGCCTAGTGAGCTGCGGCGCCGGCCGTGCCATATTTTATTAATGGTAACGTCAGCCTTACTTTACGCCACTTTACTGAAAACCTGCAGATGAGGAAGTTTTGCAATGTCTATTTCCTTCCAAGGTTAAAGTATTTAAAACAGGACTATGTTAAACTTCCCCTTCATTTACATCAAATTTATGTATCAGCTTTATAGTACATATGATATACTGCTATGAAGAAAAATCAGATTGTATTAATTCTGCTGTTTCTTCAAGTACATGAATATCCTCAAATGGCTTTAAGTACACAGGCCTCTAACTTATAAAATACATAGTGTGAGGGACTGGCATCGTGGCGCAACCACTTAAAGCCACATGCTGCAGCACCAGCGTCCCATATGGGTGCAGGTTCGAATCCCAGCTGCTCCATTTCCCAGTCCTTGAGGCCATTTAGGGAGTGAACCAGCAGATGGAAGATCTCTCTCTGTGTCTTTGCCTTTCTCTGTAACCCTGCCTCTCAAATAAATGAATCTTAAATATATATATATATATATATATATATATATAGTTTGAGTACACAGCTGAATAGAAAAGCATCCAATTCATAGAATGCCAGCCTCGTCGACGTGAGAAAGTTCCTGAGGTTGGACAAATGCTACTGGGTCTTCCGTCCTCTGGCCAGGTCTGCTCAGTTTCTAACTGCCACTGTGATGCCAGTGAGAACATTTCTCAACTTCCAGCTTTACTGCAGCTAAGGGAGACAAACAATTAATTACCCTGAACCTGAGATATCACATTAAATTCGGAATATCACATTGAAAACAGTAAGCACAGCAAAGCTCAGACTTCCAAAGAAAAACAGATGGAATGAAAATATTTTAATAATCCTTCACAGGAATGATAGAACTTTTTGGAAAAAAAATTAGATACAGAGTGAATGGCAAAATTTACAGTCCAAGCAACCCTTCAAGTTGTAACAGATGTCAGTGCCAACTCATCAAAGTCTTACCTCTAACTGTAAGGCATCTATTTTCTCTTCCTGGCAGGTGTCGCCCTCACACTCATACTGGACTATTTTCCCATCTGTTTTACTTGCAACCAGTCGGTGGACATAATTATCTAAAGAAAAGAAGTTGTCAATGAAAGTGCGTCTCTTCAGGATGAAAAGGGCCTTCATATGTTTCTACCTCTGGCAAAATTTTCGTTTTTACAGACCTAAATAAAGTATCTTATTTCTTTAAAACTGGGTCAAATCATTTGAATTTTGGAGAGAGTGAGCAGGCAAGAGCGGAAGTGTTAATTCTCTTTATGAAATGAGGCTCAGGCCTGGTGCCCTCAGAGGCCCAGGAGGATGCCATCGGGAAGATGACATTCCAGACTGTGAGAAGAGGAGGTTCCACAGAAACACTGCCAGACAGAAGGAGTCCAAATTAGAAACGAGAGTGGTGCTCACCTCCAGCATAGTCCCAGACTCGGTGGTTGGTGAGCTGCATGGCATACGTGTGCTGTGTCTCCTCAAAGTGCTTGTAAGCATGTCGACTGACATACCGTCCACATCCTATGTGGCCACATATCAAACAAATCCAAAGGTTCTGCCAAGAAGGGAAGATCTTCGTTAGATAAATAAAAATACTGGACCTGGCCGACTCCAGGTGGGAAGGGACTAACAGGAGGGGACTGGGCGTTGTCTCCACAGGGGTCATCAATCAGTAGGAATCTAAAAGCCAACCATCAAGGTCCATTTTCTGGCTCAATCAATTTCTTCGCTCTGATTTCTGAAGAGTGCTATGTAAATAATAAGCAAAAGATTCAGCTCATCAGTAAAAACCCAAGCCTTTTAAAACAACAGAGTGCAGGGGCCGGCGCCATGGCTCACTTGGTTAATCCTCCGCCTATGGTGCTGGCAATCCCATATGGGCGCCGGGTTCTAGTCCAGGTTGCTCCTCTTCCAGTCCAGCTTTCTGCTGTGGCCCGGGAAGACAGTGGAGGATGGCCCAAGTGCTTGGGCTCCTGTACCCGCCTGGGAGACCAGGAGGAAGCACCTGGCTCCTGGCTTTGGATCAGTGCAGCGGCGGCCATAGTGGCCATTTGGGGGGTAAACCAATGGAAGGAAGACCTTTCTGTCTGTCTTTCTCTCTATAACTCTGTTAAATAAATTTAAAAATAAAAAAATAAATAAGAGTGCAAAAACTTGACCTGCCAGTGCCACGCCTCACTAGGCTAATCCTCTGCCTTGTGGCGCCGGCACACCGGGTTCTAGTCCCGGTAGGGGCGCCGGATTCTGTCCTGGTTGCCCCTCTTCCAGGCCAGCTCTCTGCTGTGGCCCGGGAGTGCAGTGGAGGATGGCCCAGGTGCTTGGGCCCTGCACCCCATGGGAGACCAGGAGAAGCACCTGGCTCCTGCCATCGGATCAGCGCGGTGTGCCAGCCGCAGCACGCCAGCCGCAGCGGCCATTGGAGGGTGAACCAATGGCAAAGGAAGACCTTTCTCTCTGTCTCTCTCTCTCACTGTCCACTCTGCCTGTCAAAAAAAAAAAAAAAAAAAAAAAAAAAACTTGAAAAATTTTGCTTAGGAGTCACATAATTTTTGTATTCATGTCTTGCCTGACCCTAGACACAAAGAGAAAAAAAAATCAGTCTTAAAATGAATTATTTTAAAAATTTAAATCTTAATGAGAAGAAAATCCCAGACAATTAAAGCTGTGCTCATCATTCTTTTCTATTACCCATTACTTACTTCTTGAACACCACACTCAAAACACTTGTTTTCTTCTACTGGCTCTGGCGTCTGACAGTACCGGCACACGGGACACCTGGCCAGGACACCAAGAGACAATGGCACCCATTAAATATAAAAAGATTCTAGTTTTGAAATCTGAAAGTCATAAAAATTGTCACTATGCTATTTTTTTATCATAAATAAGTATATATCATTTAAAAGACAAACGTGTTTCAATTTTTAAAAAAGATTTATTTATTTGAAAGGCAGAGTTAGAAAGTGGGGGGAGAGGTGGAGAGACAAAATGAGAGATCTTTGACCTGCTGGTTCACTCCCTAAATGGCCACAACAGCCAGGGCTGGGCCAGATTGAAGCCAGGAGCTTCATCAGGGTCTCCCAGATGGTTGCAGGGGTCCAAGCACTTGGGCCATCCCTTGCTATGTTCCCAGGAGCATTAGCAGGGAGCTGGATGAGAAGTGGAGCAGCCAGGACTCGAACCAGCACTCATGGAATGCTGGCACTGCAGTCCACAGCTTAACCTGCTGTGCCATAGTGCTGGCCTGACCTATTCTTAAACAAAAGAAAGCACACAAAATCTTGTTAAGAGGAGGAAAAGGGAAAAATGTTGATCTGCCTCATACCCTTTCCCATTCTTCTGTCTAAATCTCAGATTGCAAAGCTCAATATTTATGGGTGGGGCCAGCGCTGTGGCTTAAGGGGGTAGAGGCACCATCTGCAGTGCCGGCATCCAAGCTGGGTGCTGGTTCAAGTCCCGGCTGCTCCACTTTCAGTCCAGCTCTCTGCTATGACCTGGGAAAGCAATAGAGGATGGCCCAAGTGCTTCGGCCCCTACAGCCATGTGGGAGACCCGGAAGAAGCTCCTGGTTTTGGATCAGCACAGCTCCACCCATTGTGGCCAGCTGGGGAGTGAGCCAGCAGATGGAAGACCTCTCTCTCTCTCTCTGCTTTTCTGTGTAATTCTGACTTTCAAATAAATAAATAAAATCTTTAAAAAAAATACTTATGGGTAAGAATGAAGACTTGAGGGGCCAGTGTTGTGGTGTAGTGGGTAAAGCCACCGCATGCGATGCCAGCATCCAACAGCTGGCTCTCAAATCTACGGCACATTTTACTGAATTAAAAATAATGGAGGACAGTGATGTACTTTCTGAAATGCACAAGACATCTCACCACACAATAAATATCACGTCAAAGATACCAGTGCTCCATTGACTATTCAAGTTTCAACGTATGAAAGAGCCAATAAAAGCCGCACTGAAAAAAAACATCCACTAACCCTTTGCTTATACGCAAGACAAAGTAATGGTAAGTGCTTGTCAGGAATATGTATTCATAAATACATACACACACATATAAAGATTAATTTATTTATTCATAAAGGTTTATTTATTTGAAAGGCAGAGTTAGGGAGAAGGAGAGAGAGATCTTGTATCCACTGGTTCATTCCTCAAATGGCCACAACAGTCAGGGCTGGGCCAGGCCAAAGCCAGGAGCTTCTTCAAGGTCTCCCACACGGGTGCAGGAGCCCAAGTACTTGGGCCATCCTCTACTGCATTCCCAGGTGTGTCAGTAGGGAGCTGGATCACAAGTGGAGCAGCCAGGACTTGAACTGGTACCCATATGGGATGCTATAACCTGCTAACCACAATGCTGACCCCTGGAATAATTTTTTTTTTTTAAAGATTTATTTATTTATTTGAAAGGCAAAGTTACAGAGCAGGAAAGAGGGAGGGAGGGAGGGAGGGAGGAGAGAGAGAGAGAGAGAGAGAGATATCTTCCATCCACTGGTTCCCTCCCCACAGTGGCCACAATGGCCAGAGCTGGGCAGATCTGAAGCTGGGAGCCAGGGGCTTCTTCCAGGTCTCCCATGCGGGTGCAGGGACCCAAGCACTTTGGTCATCTTCAGCTCCTTTCCCAGGCACATTATGAGGGAGCTGGAGCCAGGATTCGAACCAGTGCCCACATATGTGATGACAACGCTGCAGTCTTAACTGCTATACCACAGCACCAGCCCCAGGAATAAATTTTTGAAAAGATTTGTCTACTTATCTGAAAGACAGAGTTATAGAGAGGAGAGGGAGAAGAGGAGGGAGGGAGGGAGGGAAGAAGGGAAAAGAAGGGAGGAGGAGAGAGTGGGAGAGAAAGAGGGAGGGAAGGAAAAAGGGGGGGGGATATTGATCTTCCAGCTGCTGCTTCACTCCCCACATGGCCACTACAACCTGGCCCAGGCAAGCTGAAGCCAGGAGTCCGGAGCTAAATCAGGATCTCCCATGTGGATGGCAGGGGTCCAAGCACTCAGGTCATCCTCCACTGACTTCCCAGGCGCATTAACAGAGAGCTGGGTCGGAAGTGGGGCAGCTGGGACATGAGCTGGCACCCATAGGCAGTACCAGTGTTGCAGGCAGTGGCTTAACCAGCTACAACACCAGCCCACGTCAGGTATATTTTTGTTGGTTGTGCAAACATGACAGGAAGTGGGTTATAATTGAGCCTGACTGAATTGGCATCAAGAAGAAAGAATGCTCAAAATATAACTAGTATCAGTGTGTCACCCCAACCGAGTACAGAGAACTAAGAAAAGGAAACAAGCAGGAAGAACATGAGGTTCCCATCACAGCAAGAAGGCCCTATCTGTGTTTCCTAAGGGAAAGAGCCAAGTCCGTCTCTGTAACAAAAGAGGAGACAGAGGACAAACTCAAAGAAATAACAGAAATGGAAGCCAGGGGCCGGCGTTGTGGCCTAGCAAGTAAAGATGCCACCGCGATGCCAGCATCCCACATCAGAGTATGCATGAGTCTCAGCTGCTCTGCTTCCAATCCAGCTCCCTGCCAATGGGCCTGGGAAAGCAGAAGACTGCCCGAGTGCTTGGGCCCCTGCCGCCCACATGGGAGAAACATGCAGTTCCTGGCTCCTGGTTTCAGACTGGCTTCACCCCTGGCTGTTGCAACCATTTGGGAAATGAAGCAGCAGTAGCAGATTTTTCTCTCTCTCTTCCCTCTCCCTTTCAAATAAATAAATAAATCTTGAAAAGAAAAGAAGAAAGAAATGGCAGCTGGTGAGTAACTAGCAGTTTGGTCAAGAGCAGAAACCATCTTTGTATCATTCTGTCGGTGTGATGGCTGTGGCAGAGGTGAGATAAGAAAACAAACGGGGGCCGGTGCTGTGGCATCTGGGTAAAGCCGCCGCCTGCAGTGCTAGCATCCCATATGGGTGCTGGTTCGAGTCCCAGCTGCTCCACTTCTGATCCAGCTCTCTGCTATGGCTTAGGAAAGCAGTAGAAGATGGCCCAAGTCCTTGAGCCCCTGCACCATTGTGGGAGACCGAGAGGAAGCTCCTGGCTCCTGGCTTCAGATTGGTGCAGCTCCAGCCATTGTGGTCGTCTGGGGAATGAACCAGCAGATGGAAGACTGACCTCTCTCTCTCTGCCTCTCCTTCTCTTGCTGTGCAACTCTGACTTTCAAGTAAATAAATATTTCATTAAAAAAAAAAAAAAGACAAATGGAACTTTTTAAAAAAAAATTAATTCTGAAATCTAATTTAGATTGTAGATCATGTGCTAGAATGATCTTTCAAAAATGAAAATGTAATAGGGGAGTAATAATAAAGCATAGGGAAAAATAAACTTATTTGCATTAGACAACCAGCACTCTAGGATATATCATCTCATCTATTAAAAAAATACTTGACAAAGTCTTTCTGTCTTCTCTCCAAACCTAATTCCGAGTTTCTTCAGTGAGCCCTTCCATTCTGGCCTTCTCTGACTGCTTCCTGGGACAGACCAGGCGCCCCCGCTGTCTCCTACGGCAGCCCCTCCTTCCTGGGACAGACCAGGCGCCCCCCCGCTGTCTCCTACGGCAGCCCCTCCTTCCTGGGACAGACCAGGCGCCCCCCCGCTGTCTCCTACGGCAGCCCCTCCTTCCTGGGGCAGACCAGGCGCCCCCGCTGTCTCCTACGGCAGCCCCTCCTGAGCATCAGGCACTGTCTCTGGCTCCTTCCGTCTCTCCTGAATCACACCCACCTACGCGCACACACGTGTAAACGCCTTCAGGCTCAACTTCCTCAGGGAGGGCCTGGATTTGACTCCTCCTCTCAGCACCTACCGCTGTAGCATGTGTATTTTGAAGTTCCAAAAACACTCACTAAATCAACTGCATGCCTTTGCGAGTACACACTATGCTTCACACCCTATACAGTGGGTTCCATTTTTGTCCCAGTTCTGACATTCTCTGGCCATGACAGTTTGAGCATGCTAATTCTCACCTCCGGGCCTCAGTTCCTCCTCGATAAAGTGAGGAGATAGGACTGGACAAGGTGGTTCCTGAGGAAATTCCTACTTTAAAATGCTATGGTTCCGGCCAGCGCCACGGCTCACTAGGCTAATCTTTTGCCTGAGGCGCCGGCACCCCAGGTTCTAGTCCCGGTTGGGGCGCCGGATTCTGTCCCAGTTGCTCCTCTTCCAGTCCAGCTCTCTGCTGTGGCCCGGGAAGGCAGTGGAGGATGGCTCAGGTCCCTGGGCCCCGCACCTGCATGGGAGACCAGGAGGAAGCACCTGGCTCCTGGCTTCAGATCGGCACAGCACGCCGCCTGCAACGCACCGGCCGCAGTGGCCACTTTGGGGGGTGGACCAACGGAAAAAGGAAGACCTTTCTCTCTCTCTAACTCTGCCTGTCCAAAAAAAAAAAAAGGCTATGGTTCCAGGGCCCAGCATTGTGAGCATTGTGGCATAGTAGGTAAAGCCACATCCCACCTGGGCACCGGTTCAAGCCCTGGCTGCTTTATTTTTTTTTTTTTTAAAAAGATTCTTTCTTTCTTTCTTTCTTTCTTTCTTTCTTTCTTTCTTTCTTTCTTTCTTTCTCTCTCTCTCTCTCTCTCTCTCTCTCTCTCTCTCTCTCTTTCTTTCTTTCTTTCTTTCTTTCTTTCTTTCCTTCTTTCCTTCCTTCCTTCCTTCCTTCCTTCCTTCCTTCCTTCCTTCCTTCCTTCTTTCCTTCCTTCCTTCCTTCCTTCCTTCCTTCCTTCCTTCCTTCCTTCCTCTTTCTTTCTTCCTTCCTTCCTTCCTTCCTTCCTTCCTTCCTTCCTTCCTTCCTTCCTTCCTTCCTTCCTTCCTTTCTACCTTTCTACCTTTCTATCTATCTATCTATCTATCTATCTATCTGAAAGACAGTTACAGAGATGCAGAGGCAGAGAGAGAGGGGATTTCCATCTGCTGGTTCACTCCCCAGATGACCGAAATGGCTAGAGCTACACCGATCTGAAGCCAGGAGCTTCTTCTGGGTCTCCCACATGGGTGCAGGGGCCCAAGGACTTGGGCCATCCTCTACTGCTTCCCCAGGCCACAGCAGAGAGCTGGATTGGAAGTGGAGCAACCAAGACTTGAATGAGCACCCATATGGGATGCCCACACTGCAGGCAGCAGTTTTACCCACTACGCCACAGCACCTGCCCCTGCTTTACTTCTAATCCAGTTCTCTGCTAAAGGCCTGGCAAACAGCAGAGGTTGACCCAAGTGTTTGGGCCCCAGGAACCCACAAGAGACCCAGATGAAGCTCTTGGCATCAGTCTAGCCCGGCTCTGGCCATTGCAACCATCCAGAGAGTGAACCAGTGGATGGAAGATCTCTGTGTACCTCTCTCCCTCTCTCTTTTCCTCCCTCCTTTTCCCCTCTTTCAAATAAACAAACAAAAAAAAATTTTTTTTTGACAGGCAGAGTGGACAGTGAGAGAGAGAGACAGAGAGAAAGGTCTTCCTTTGCCGTTGGTTCACCCTCCAATGGCCGCCGCGGCCGGCACACCGCGCTGATCCGATGGCAGGAGCCAGGTGCTTCTCCTGGTCTCCCATGGAGTGCAGGGCCCAAGCACTTGGGCCATCCTCCACTGCACTCCCGGGCCACAGCAGAGAGCTGGCCTGGAAGAGGGGCAACCTGGATAGAATCCGGCGCCCTGACTGGGACTAGAACCCGGTGTGCTGGCGCCGCAAGGCGGAGGATTAGCCTAGTGAGCCGCGGCGCCGGCCACAAACAAATCTTTAAAAAAAAAAAAAAATGCTGTGCATCCATGGAGTTTAGTAGTGCATAAGTAAAAGCGGAGTGGCAGGAGCACAGAAGTGCCCAAAACTGAAATGGCCCGGCAGACGGACACAGGATACACAAACACGTCATGCTTGTCTTTGCTGCCTCGTTCAAGGCAAATTTAAACCTGGACAATTCTCTGAAGAACTCCCAAATGATAAACCAGCTAAGTAAGCTATGGAAAACCAGGGTTTCTTTCTTTTTCACCAATATCTGTTGCACTCCTACAGTGTGGGGGCACAGCAGTGTAAGCCAGGCCAGGCCCCTGCTCTGGGACAGCTGGCATTCTTCTGGTTCCTGGAGCCCTGCGGGTGCGGGTAAACAGACTCCTGTGGACTCCCACCCTCCTAACCTCCAGACTCCTGCCCTGCACATCTCCTCCCCAATGCTGCCTCATCCCGCTCTTACTGCTCACCCAGCTAACTCCTACTTAACCTTCGGGAACCTCACTTCTCCAGTGGCCCTGGCTGTGTCAGACCCCAGCTGCACATCGCTCTTTCTTAACACTGATTAAGCCTGTGATTTCACATTTACATTGTGTGACTATGTGATTCTCAGCCATTCTGTGTATCGGGGAATTCCTGAGGCCAGCACCTGGGATATCTTTCTAACTCCCACAGTGCAGCTTGCCAAGGGAGCAGCTACTCTTGATCTAGGAAAACAACTTAAAAATGCACCGTTGCCATCTCAGTTCTTTGTCTACAGCAACGCTGCCAACTACTAAGGCCTCTTGCACAACGGGAATCAGGACACTATAGCTGTGTGCCTCATACTTGGCGGCTGCTATTCCTACCGGACACTGAACCTTCAACAGCTTGAGAAAGCTCAAATGCTGGGGCCCGTGTTGTGACATAGTAGGTTAAGCTGCCACCTGTGAACCCAGCAAAGAATATGGGTGTCAGTTTGTATCCTGACTGCTCCACTTCTGATCCAGCTCCCTGCTAGAGGACTGGGAAAAGCAGAGGAGGATGGCCCAGGTGTTTAGGCCCCTGCCACAGACATAGAAGAATTGGGTGAAGCTCCTGGCTTTGGCCTGGTGAAACACTGGCCATTGCAGCCTTCTGGAGAGTAAACCAGCTGATGGAAGCACTCTTTTTCTAACTCCAACTTTCAAAATAAATAAGTAAATCTTAAAACAAACAAAAAAACCCTGAAATGTTAGGCCATGGAGCCTGGTTGATAAGAATGCAGAAGTGAAGGGCAGACACCAAGTACAAGTGATAGCGACTATTCTAGTCATTGCTAGACTGAGCTAGCTAGTTCCTCTCTCTCTCTCAATCTTCTGGCTCTGGAAGAAAGGACAACTCATGGTGCTTTGGGAAATTCTGCGAGGATTCAGGATCCGCGTTCTACAAATGATTTGTTCTAAGAATGCAGCTTCTCGCTGGCACCATGGCTCACTAGGCTAATCCTCCGCCTGAGGCGCCGGCACACCAGGTTCTAGTCCCGGTTGGGGCGCCGGATTCTGTCCCAGTTGTCCCTCTTCCAGGCCAGCTCTCTGCTGTGGCCAGGGAGTACAGTGGAGGATGGCCCAAGTGCTTGGGCCCTGCACCCCATGGGAGACCAGGAGAAGCACCTGGCTCCTGCCATCGGATCAACATGGTGCGCCAGCCGTGGCAGCCATTGGAGGGTGAACCAACGGCCAAAAAAAAAAAAAAAAAAAAAAAAAAAAAAAGGAAGACCTTTCTCTCTGTCTCTCTCTCTCACTGTCCACTCTGCCTCTCAAAAAAAAAAAAAAAAGAATGCAGCTTCTCACATGAACTGAGAAAGAGGAAAGGGAGAACTGGAAGGAGCATCCTGTGGCCTCCTAACTATCGTAGGGCCAGATTTCAAAAGCCAAATACTTGGAGTGATTCATTTTTGGTGGTAGCTATTTTAAACCTGGGAAAGGCCAGCATGGGTGCTGACACGGAGGGGGCAGCGCCTGCACTCACGTCGTGTCGTCCCAGCGCTGCAGACACTGGCTGTGGAAGCTGTGGTTACACAACGTGGTGAGGATGCCATTCACAGACTCGTCCATGCGCTCCAGACACACTGTGCACTTGGGGAGCTCAGTCAGGTCCATCACCGGGAGGCTGGCGCCCTGCAGGGAGACATCTCACGTGAGCCTCACTCTTCACTCATCAGTAGTTTGTTTTGTCCTTAACAATTGTTTTCCTGTTGCTTTTTGACTCCTGGCAGGATTTTCTCCACATCATTGCTCTATGCAAGTAACTGGTAAGATTTTCATTCTTCCCAGCACTGTGCTAGGGACTGGGAATACAATGCTGAACAAAGCGGGCAAGGATCCCTGCTCTCCCCGCTGACATTCGACGACGGGAGATGCTGCAAAGCCTTAAGGGTCTTCACAACGCGCACTATGTATAAACGACACAGTTCAAAGATGTTACGAACCAAACAAATCATTTAATTCCACTTTTCCATGAACTCTGAGATACTCTCGCATAAATCTAAAATGATACCAGACCCCCAGCCCTCACCATAAACATCTTTGATTCTAAAAGAACCCAAAGTACTAAAAGAAGAATAGCAACAGAGCTGAATGATTTTCCACACAGTAAATTAAAATGTAACACATCAACAACACTGGTTTTACTTATCCATTAATTAAACATAGAGATAAAATTAATCTAAATAAAAGTACAGGAAAGTACAACATTGTGAAATAGGAGCCTGCAGTCTAGGGGTCAGGAAAGTGCCCCGAGACAGCGACGTCTGACTTGAGCCCTGCAAGCCAGAGGTGAGCAGGAACTACCCAGGCGAAGGTGGGAAGCACACCTAGAGGGACCCGGGGGAAAACATGGTCTTTCACAGGCCCCGAAGAGCCGACACTGAAAGGAAACCTCTCCGAAGTTATTCCTTGGGGCTGGCACTGTAGCCTAGCAGGTTAAGCTGCTGCCCTCAGCGCCAGCATCCCATATGGGTATTGGTTCGATTCTCCACTGCTCTCCACTTCTGATCCAGCTCCCTGCTGATGTGCCTGGGAAAGAAAAGGAAAATGGCCCAAGTGCTTGGGCCCCTGCACCCATGTGGGGGACCCAGAAGAGCTCCTGGCTTCAGCCTGGCCCAGCTCCAGCTGTTGGCCACCATTTGGGCAGTGAACCAGTGGATGGAAGATCTCTCTTTCAAATAAAGTAAAAAAAATTTTTAAGATTTATTTTTTATTTGAAAAGCAGAGTTACAGAGAGGCAGAGGCAGAGAAAGAGGTCTTCCATTACTGGTTCACTCCCCAGATGGCCACAATGGTCGTAGCTGCGCTGATCCGAAGCCAGGAGCTTCTTCCGGGTCTGCCATGTGGGTGCAGGGGCCCAAAGACTTGCGCCATCTTCTACTGCTTTCCCAGGCCATAGCAGAGAGCTGGATCGGAAGTGGAGCAGCTGGGACTCAAATGGGCACCCATATGGGATGCTGGCAATGCGGGCAGTGGCTTTACCCACAATGGCACAGCACCAGCCCCAATAAATAAATCTTTAAAAAAAATTATTCCTCATTTAGAGGAAAGTACAACACCTAGCACAGGGAAGCCATCTTTAGTACTTATTAAATTTTATTTCCCTCAATTTAGTGACTAAACGAGCATATTAGAACTTTTTTCTTTTTTTTTTTTTTAAGATATTTATTTATTTGAGACGTAGAGTTACAGAGAGAGAGACTGAGTGAGTGAGAGAGACAGAGAGAAAGGTCTTCCTTCCGTTGGTTCACTCCCCAAATGGCCGCAATGGCCGGAGCTGCAACAATCTGAAGCCAGGAGCCAGGAGCTTCTTCTGGGTCTCCCACGTGGGTGCAGGGGCCCAAGGACTTGAGCCACCTTCCACTGCTTTCCCAGACCTCAGCAGAGAGCTGGATTGGAAGAGGAGCAGCCGGGACTAGAACTGGCATCCATATGAGATGCTGGCCACAGGCGGAGGATTAACCTACTGTACCACAGCGCAGGCCCCTAGATCTTATTTCCATCAAGGTGATCTCAAGATAGAAAGATCTTTATGTCTACTTAAATATCACAGAACTGAATTTTGTACTTTATAAAATGATTCAAGTAAGCACTTATTGTAGCAGAGATTCCTAAAGAGGCCACGAGATCACAGCAGTTACAAAACTGCTATCAAAACAGAATCAAGGGGCCAGCGCTGTGGTACAGCGGGTAAAGCCGCCACCTGAGATGCCAGCATCCCATGTGGGCAGCGGTCCAGGACCTGGCTGCTGCACTTCCGATCCAGCTCTCTGTTAATGCGCCAGGGAAAGCAGTGGAGGATGGCTCAAGTGCTTGGGCCCCTGCACCCATGTGGGAGACCCAGAAGAAGCTTCTGACTCCTGGCTTAGACCTGGCCCAAACATTGTGGCCGTTTGGGAAGTGAACCAGTGGATGGAAGATCTCTCTGTCTCCTCCTCTTTTTTTTTCTAACTCTTTCAAATAAACAAATCTTTCAAAAAAAATTGAGAAGGAGATTAAAGGCTAATATTTAAAACAAAACCATTTATTTCTGGCTCTAGGCTATGCTCTATTGACCTGTAATATTTCCTTTGTAAACATTTAATTTCAACAAAGCAGGCATCTTTTTCCCTATTTTTTTTTTCAATTTCAAAAAAACAGTATAAAATTTACATAAAACTCTCCATTTTAAAGTATGCAAGTCAGGGGCTGCCAGCACATCCCCAAGGTGTACGACCATTACTGCTATCTCATTCTAAAACATTTCTATCAAAAAGAAACCCCACAACTGTTACAGTCACTCCCCAATCCTCTCTCCCTCCAGCCCCTGGCAACCACTAATCTATTTTCTGCCTCTATGGATTGCCTATTCTGGACACTTCTAAAGATATCTGAACAGTAATTTTTATGTCAATCGAGTAAGAGGGCCGTTCACACTTACATCTTCCGATTTCAGCACTTCCGCCCTCTCCACGTACACCAGCTGGCAAACGTCGTCTTCTATGGAGTTGAACTGGCGGCCGTTGCAGGCCATATAAAAACTATCTGCGTCAGTCTAGGTAGACCAAAGGGGAAAAGGAAATAAATCAGATACCCTGAAAATCTGCTTTATACTGAAGATGCATGGCTTCAATTATTCTCATCAACTTTTTAAATGTATGCTTAGAAAAAAAACCAGCTGCCAGAAGTAACATCTGCGGAAGCGGGCTGGCAGGCTAATCAAACTCAAGCGGTCAGTATTCTAGATCCCAACAACTTTCCTGGGTCATGTGAGGGTTTACACTCGAACCGGCAGAAAGAACTGAAATGCAGCAAGTTGACAGCTAGTTCAGTTTGAATATTCAATGAGCAATAGTCAACACTTCCCATAATAACAATTTTTATCCCTCTAGTCATCACTTTTGTAGTAGCTGAAAATAAACATTCATTTTTGCAAAGCGTGAATCTAAATCATAACTGACAACTGAGTGCTTTTTTAAACAAGTATTAGCATTTATGCTAAAAAACACAAGATCAGTGGAACTGGTGTAAGAATGAAACCAGGCCGGTGCCGCGGCTCACTAGGCTAATCCTCCCCCTTGCGGCGCCGGATTCTGTCCCGGTTGACCCTCTTCCAGGCCAGCTCTCTGCTGTGGCCCGGGAGTGCAGTGGAGGATGGCCCAAGTGCTTGGGCCCTGCACCCCATGGGAGACCAGGAGAAGTACCTGGCTCCTGCCATCAGATCAGTGCGGCGCGCCGGCCGCAGCGCGCCAGCTGCGGCGGCCATTGGAGGGTGAACCAACGGCAAAGGAAGACCTTTCTCTCTATCTCTCTCTCTCACTGTCCACTCTGTCAAAAAAAAAAAAAAAAAGAAAGAACAAAACCAGCTCCAATCAAATGATACTAACATGATAAAGATCCCATCAGGAATGTCTAACACCATAACCAAAAACTCTTGGTCCAGGTCAAGATGAACCATCCTTTAAAATACAAGCAATAGGGGCCAGAGCTGTGGCGCAGTGGGTCATGCCCTGGCCTGAAGCTCTGGCATCCCATATGGGCACCGGTTCTAGTCCCTGCTGCTCCTCTTTCAGTCCAGCTCTCTGCTATGGCCTGAGATAGCAGTAGAAGATGGTCCAAGTCCCTGGGCCCCTGCACCCATGTGGAAGACCCGGAAGAAGCTCCTGGCTTCGAATTGGCGCAGCTCCAGCCGTTGCAGCCACCTGGGGAGTGAACCAGAGGATGGACGACCTTTCTGTCTCTGCCTCTCACTGTAACTCTTTCAAATAAATAAAATAAATCTTTAAAAAAAATACAATCAATAGCTTAGCTGAAGGCTGAGTAGTTAAGCTACCAGTCGGAATACTGCACATCAGAGTACCTATGTTCAAGTCCTGGCTCCATTCCCAATTCCAGTCTTTCGCTGTTGCAAACCAAATGGCGGCAGTGACGGCTCAAGTAGGTGGGTCCCTGTTACCCACGTGGGAGACCTGGATCGAGGTCCTGGCTCCTGAGGAGCACACAGTAATGGGCTCTCTGTCTCTCAACGTTTTGTTTTTGTTTTAAATACTACTAGTCTCATTCCCTTACATGGGAAACAGATTAAGGAGAAACAGCCCCTTCAGGTAAAGCTGCAAAGGCACACACACTTTTGCACGTATGGACACAGGTAAATCAACCTTCTCAGCTAGCCTTAGTTAAAAGCAGCAAACTGAAGATTTCAGCAGCCAATCTTCTGCGGCAGCTGGGAGGCCGAGGCTTGTCTGGATTCCCCTCCCACGCGGGCCTTAGCCCAAACACAGGAAGCTGTGTGTTCTGGCACTGCTACCACAGACTAGCTGCTTGTGGGGAGATTCTGCTGAAGAAAGTGCCACACTGTCAACCTCCAGCAAGACTCAAGGCTGTACCAGGCAAAAAGCAGCCTTGCCTGACTTCCGTCACAGGCTTCCGAATCTCAAAGCCACCATAAGCCTTGCAAATAACTTTAAATTCCACTCCTATGATGTGATTAGATCAGCCATTCTTGATTATGTATGCCTTCTTAATATGATCAAGCGAGCCAAGCAGCTGAGGAGGGATGATCATTTCTGAATGCAGTTTTATTGGGGGAGGGGGGCCTAGGTCTGTGTGAGGGTTTCCTTCAGGAAACAATCTGTGTACTGGGTACAGTGCATTTAAACTTCAAAACATTTTAAAGCCAGTTCTCGGATAATAAATCTATTTAGGAGCCAGCGCTGTGGTGCAGTGGGTTAAAGCCCCAGCCTGCAGTGCCAGCATCTCATATGGGCGCCAGTTTGAATCCCAGCTGCTCCTCTTCTGATCCAGCTATATGCTATGGCTTGGGAAAGCAGTGGAAGATGGCCCAAGTCCTTGTGGCCCTGCACCCACGTGGGGGACCCGGAAGAAGCTCCTGGCTTCGGATCAGCTCAGCTCTGGCCACTGCGGCCAATTGGGGAATGAGCCAACGGAATGTAAGACCTCTCTTTCTCTGGCTCAACCTTTCTGTAACTCTTTCAAATGAATAAAATAAATCTTTTAAAAAATATTTAATGCTAGGGATTTAAAATGGCTTCCCCCATTCTCCAGGAGCAGTGACCTTTTCTTGACATGCTTCTTTTTTTTTTTTTTTTTTTTTTTTTTGACAGGCAGAGTTAGTGAGAGAGACAGAGAAAGGTCTTCCTTCCGTTGGTTCACCCCCCAAATTGCCGCCACGCTGCGCCGATCCAAAGCCAGGAGTCAGGTGCTTCCTCCTAGTCTCCCATGGGGTGCAGGGCCCAAGCACTTGGGCCATCCTCCACTGCCTTCCCACAGCAGAGAGCTGGCCTGGAAGAGGAGCAACCGGGACAGAATCTGGCGCCCCAACCGGGACTAGAACCCGGGGTGCTGGTGCCGCAGGTGGAGGATTAGCCTAGTGAGCCGCGGCGCCAGATGCTTCTTGATGAGCGAGCACACAGATTCACTGAAGAACTGACGGCCTGGGAGGCAAGTTTGGCTCTGCTCTCAGGGCCTCAAGCACCCCCAGGATCTGGAAGGGCTGCCCAGGAAAGGCAGACCTCTGGATCCGGAGCTGCAGACGTGCTAAGCTCCCAGCGGAAGGGACCAGGCACGCCACACCAAACCAGCTGTCCCCTTCCTGGAGAGTGGCTGCTCTGTACTGAAGAAACGTGCTTTCTGGAAGGAGGTATCTATGAAGCAATGAGGCTTCTTATACTGCATGACGGTCTTCTGGTCAGCATCAGGAACGCAGCCTCACTTGCTGGAGCATTTACTGAGCACTTTGGACATGCTAGGCAGTGTGCCGTGTACTAGGAAGAGAGCAGGGACCAAAATGGACAAAACACCATCTGCATACAGGAAATCAATGCCTGAAGCAAACCACAAAGCACACAGAAGAACCTTTTTAAAATATCCGCATTGTATGGGGCCAGAAATATAAGGAAATCCAGCTTTTGTGTTTTCCAACCCGTTGTTTTTATTCCCATCTGAGGATGAACCCAGAAAAGTCAAATCCATCATGATCAGAGCCCCTTCACTGCCACAGTGACCAACTATGCTCCTTCTCGTGGGAGGGTCTCTGAGGCCATCCGAAGTGTGCAAGTAAAGATGAGCCAACGCACTCCACCGAGACGTTATCTGTCCTTCTTTGTCCCCAAGAACAACAAAATCGCACACATTCCTGCTTTCACATGTCCTGATGAATTACAGATTCCTGGTCCGAAGCCTACAGCTGCTAAAGGTCACACCGCAAGTTTGTAAACACATCTCTGCATAAGACCTCCAACTTCAGCAGAAATTTAAAAGATTATAAAAGACATAAAGCTTATGAGTTCTTTTAAAAAATCCTCTGTTGAGAAAAAGAAAGGAGTAAGGATGCAACTAGCCGCTTAAGCTATAAGGTCAAGCCGCCTGGGCTTGAATCTGACATTCAGCTATTCAACTCTGGGCAAGTAACTTACCAGGATCTGCTTCTCAACTCTAAAATATGAAAACAACAATACCCTGGGGCCGCTGCTGTGGTGCAGCGGGTTAACGCCCTGGCCTGAAGCGATGGCATCCCACATGGGCGCCAGTTTGAGACCCGGCTGCTCCTTTTCCAATCCAGCTCTCTGCTGTGGCCTGGGAAAGCAGTGGAAGATGGCTCAAGTCCTTAGGCCCCTGCACCTTCATGGGAGACCCAGAAGAAGCTCCTGGCTCCTGGCTTCGGATCGGCACAGCTCCAGCCATTACGGCCAACTGGGGAGTGAACCAGCAGATAGAAGACCTCCCTCTCTCCCTCCCTCCCTCCCTCTCTGTGTAACTCTTTCAAATAAATAAATAAATCTTAAAAAAAAAAGAAAGAAAGAAAGAAAATAACAACACCTCCCTTGTGGCATTGTTGAGAGAATTCAAAAAGTAATGCATATAGAACCCTTTGCGGGACCAGCACTGTGGCACAGCAGGAAAAGCTGCAGCCTTCAGTGCTGGCATCCCATATGGCCGCCAGTTTGAGTCCCAGCTACTCCATTTCTGATTCAGCTCTCTTCTATGGCCTGGGAAAGCAGCAGAAGATGGCCCAAGTCCTTGGGGCCCTGCACCCACATGGGGGACCCAGAAGAAGCTTGTGGCTCTTGGCTCCTGAATGGCCTAGCTGTGGCTGTGGTGGTCATTTGGGGAGTGAACCAGCAATTGGAAGGCCTCTCTCTCTGCCTCTCTGTAACTCTGCCTTTCAAATAAATAAATCTTAAAAAAAAAAAAAAAAAAAAAAAAAGGACCATGCTTAAAAAATATTTTTGTACAGTCTGGTATCTAGAAGTGCTCGGAGTTGGTAGCTATATTACCAACAGAGTCTATTATTCTCAGGAGAGTCCAATATAATTGAACAAGGCCAAATCAATCCAAGAGGGTGTTAATATGTCCTGGAAAATCCTTGATAGGATCAGCATTGACAGGATACAGATCAGACCCTAGAATCCAAGATCAGCAACAAATACTACAATTTGTGAGAACAAGGTCAAGGGTTTACTGCAAGGGGAATCCTGTTCACAGCCTCAGGGTAAGAAGAAACTCCCTCCACCTGAGCAGCCTGACTTGATCAAAAGACGAAAGTGGGGAAGACGCTGCAGGTAGATCAAGAAAACCCACTTAGCACTGACAGAAAATCCCCACAGTATTCTCTGCTGTTAGGAAGGACGGCCCTTGCTGGACGTGCTGTGGCGTTATCACACTGCAGACTAGCTGGAAGGCCGCACGTTCTTAGTTTTTTCCAGTCTACTTCTGTGACTTCCCCTTTGTGCTACTTGCTGCTCACTCTCGTTAAGCAGAAATACGACCAAATATCGCTAGAACAGAATGCTTGCAGTTACTCTCCATTCCCACAGCCCCACCCCAATCCTACTAGGAGTGTGTCCTAGGGATTAGAAGTGAGGGCACAATACTGGCTTATTCATTTCTAGCCATGTAACCAAGGACAAATCATTAACCTCCCTCTACTGTCAGTTACCTCAACTGGGAAACAAGTGTCCATCTATGTGAAAGGGCTGCAGGGGCTGAAATGAGGTAACTGCACAGTGAGCACTCAGCACAGTAAGCGGTTCAGAAGCAGCCAAGTGACATCATTATTAGTCATGTGCTACCAGACTAAAATGGGTTAAGGCACCACATTCCCATTGTCTGCATTGACCTTGGAAGGCCACTGGCAGTCAGTGGAAGGGTCAGGTGTCTTTCTGGTCTTACTGTCAATTCACAAAGAGAAAAGAACAGGAGAGCTGAACCCATGCGGGGTCCTGTCAAGGTGAAAGGGCTGGATGACCTCCGGTGCAGAGAGCTCCACACTCGAGGGGCCACAGCACGAGTGCGAACACTCTAACAACACAGCTCTCAATTCTCTTTATCTCCTCCACATGGCCACTGAACGCTGTCACTGGCTTCAGCTCTGGAGCTCTGTAAGGAGGAAGGAGATGGCAAATGCATCTATCACAGCCTCCCTTTCACCCACAAATCTTTTTTTTTGTTTGTTTGTTTTTGTTGTTGTTGTTGTTGTTTTTGACAGGCAGAGTGGACAGTGAGAGAGAGAGACAGAGAGAAAGGTCTTCCTTTTGCCGTTGGTTCACCCTCCAATGGCCGCCACGGCTGGTGTGCTGCGGCCGGCGCACCGCGCTGATCCGATGGCAGGAGCCAGATGCTTCTCCTGGTCTCCCATGGGGTGCAGGGCCCAAGCACTTGGGCCATCCTCCACTGCACTCCCGGGCCTCAGCAGAGAGCTGGCCTGGAAGAGGAGCAACCGGGACAGAATCCGGTGCCCCGACCGGGACTAGAACCTGGTGTGCCGGCGCCGCAAGGCAGAGGATTAGCCTAGTGAGCCGCGGTGCCGGCTTTCACCCACAAATCTTTGTGACCAGTAAGAGGGCCAACGGTTAATGATCTCACAGGCACACCCATCTCTTCGCGAATCAGCAAGTCGGAACTGTCTAACTAGGGCAAATTCAGGAAGGCTATTTATCAGTGAGGTGAGGCAGAAGTTAACTTCTGACAAAGCTGCATGTTAAAACCTAAAGAAATTATAGTTGACAAATACAACAGGTTATTAAAACACACACAAGGGATCAAACTTATGGATAAGGTGGCTTTGTAATAGCATGAGTAACACCTAAAGCTTGCCTCATGTTTATATTCATAGGGAAATATGCATACTCAAAAAATGAGTATGCAAAGCCACGAGAATACCCTTCTAGCATCTGTAGGACAGAGGCACATGCAAAGAGCTGTGAATGCCACAGGTGATACAGGTGGAGGGCAAAACTTCCCTACATCAAAAAGTACTTGCTATAACACAGAGGCACTTTAAAAACGGCAAAGATCACTATTCCTTCCGTGTTTCTGCCTCTCTGCTGCCATGATTTCCAGTCAGAACTCTAAAAGCATCTTTAATATTTAAAGAATGTCACAAAATTCCTCGTCACCAAAGCTTAATTTAAAAAAAAAAGTCACTATTTTTCTAAAATTTGCCAAAAAGAACCTTTCCAAGAAAAATGAAAGAAACAGGTTAAGGTAAGATGATGTCAACTCAAAAAAATTTGGGAACTACTGCTTTTCTGGATTAAAAAAAAAAATCACTAGATTTTATGTCCAATCTGACATATAAAAAAAATCTCAGGTATTGGGCAGGTATTTGATACAGTGGTTAAGATGCCACTTGGCTCACCCACATCCTACACTGGAGTACCTTGGTTTAAGTTCCAGCTCCATTTCCAATTCCAGCTTCCTAACACACACCCCGCGGGAGGTCCCTGCTACCTACATGGGAAGCTAGATGGCCTTCTGGGCTCCTGGCCTGGCCCACCTCCAGTTGTTGCAGGCATATGGGAAGTGAATCAGCAGGCTGAAGATCTCTAACTCCCTACCTTTCAAATAAAAATAAAATAATAATTCCTAAAAAAAAAACTATGGGTATGGGAACCGGTACTGTGGCGCAGCAGGTTAAACCACCACCTGTAGCACCGGCATCCCATATGGGCGCTGGCTCCAGTCCTGGCTGCTCCACTTCCGATCCAGCTCCCTGCTGATGAGCTTGGGAAAGCAGTGGGAAAAGGCCCACATGCTTGGGCCCCTGCAACTCACATGGAGACAAGGATGGGGCTCATGGTTTCTGGCTTTGGCCTGGCTTAGTCCAGGTCAATGTGGCATCTGGAGTGAATTAGTGGATGGAAGACACCTCTCTCTCCAAATTGCGCGCTCGCTCGCTCTCGCTCTCTCTCTCTCTATATATATATAAACTTTGCCTTTCAGATAAAATAAATCTTTGAAAAAAGAAAATTAAGTTTATATTTTAAAAGAATTAGGGGTATGGATTACACCTGTATTCCTGCTGATGAACTCATATACATCTAGAGCTATCTCTAGTAGAAATATATTCACACCAAGAACCTTAAGTGCAAGACATCATAAATCACACACAGATAGCCGTGGTAGAGATTTTAGTATCTTAACCTTTACCTGTGCACTAAACTTTATCAGCACCATGTACTGATTTGGAGTAGAGTCTCTGATGATTTTCATTTGTTCAATTACTTCATTAAAGGGGGCGACAAACTTCATGAGGTCATGGCTGGTCATCGTAGCAGGGACTGTGAGAATACACAGCATGGCACTGCGCCTCACGTCTTCTTTCAAGGAGGTCATCTTGCTAACGAGACAACAATGAGACAGTCTTGAACAGAGGGGCATGGTTAGTTCAGACAACACGAATCAGACAACCTTTATGTCTAGGAAAATAGGAAAAAATAAAACATAATATTTCACAAATTAATTTAAATGGCTTGTCGCTTCATTTGAAAATACACACTAAATGGGTAAACACAAAACTCCTTAAATGTAGCTGCAATGGGTTTAAGGCAAGTTTTAGAATGATCTAAAGTTATACACACCTCCTTCCCCCTCCCCCACTGGAATTTTTAATCTTTGGTTAAAGGCTTGTTATGGTTATAATCTGCATTACACAAATTCTTAGTTTCCATTCATTCTTAAATAATAATCTGCTACTGGGTAACCTAGAAAAAGCATGACTCTAGCTTGGAACTCTCTCAAAGGGTGTAGAAGGTAAAAGTTCTGAAGAGCGCAAATGTAAGAAAGAACCCTAAACCATGAGGATGTGACGGGAGATTACACGAGGCGTTGCTGGGTTGGAAAGCCGGAATGGGGGGGGGGGGGGGGACGACCACAGTGCAATTTGCTTTTGATATGTTGCGAATTCACTTGGCAGCCATGATCCAAAAAGGCGACCCGAGTACCCACTGCTTTCCCAGGAGGGAACTCCGTTTCCCAGCAGACAAGTTAGGACAGGAACAGTCCTCAAGACCCCAGCCACAGTACCGGGCGGCTGATGGCCCAGCTTGTGGACTACCTAGCCAAGCCTTCCTTTTGAGCCTGCCGCAAGCTTTTGTTTGGATCACACCAAGAGGTAAAAAGAAATGATAAAACCGTCACCAAGCACGTGACTTCTCAGCAGTCTATTTAGCAGAAATTCCATGGGGATAAGAGACTACAGTGACGCTGCGGGCCACCTGCTCTTATTTCAAACCCTCCCTCCTTTTAGTTCCCCGATTACCCTCCATGCCTACCTGGAAGGCAGTATTTACCCAGCTGTTTTCCTAAGTGCACCCACCCAATCTACAAGATCAACCAAATGTAAAACATCTAAGAATTCTCTAACACAAAATACATGATGGTCTCATTGTTCTGTAGCTTAAAATATCCATTTCCCCTCTGTGCAAGTCTTCTCAAGCCCAACACACAAGGTGACCACCCAACGTGAAAAAGTGCTCTCTTACTTTGTCTTGTAGAGATGCATGATACCATGGACTATTTCTACTGAAGGGTTTCCGCTGAAGAACGATATCTGGTCTGGAAGCTGTTTGGATGGGGAGTCAGGAGCGGCATTCATGCAGTCTTTGCTTTTCTGGGCAGAGGGAGACGCTTCTGCAGACTTCCTTTGTTCCACGGCATCCTTGGGTTCACCTTTCACAAATCACAAGTGGGCACATTATAAATGAACAGGAAATACGGTGAAGTATTCTAACTACATTCACTACATTCAAATCTCACAAAGGATAAACTTTTAAAAGAAATAGTAATGTATTGCATTAAGACCTATATTCGTGGGGCTGGCGCTGTGGCGTAGTGGGTAAAGCCGCTGCCTGCAGTGCCGGCATCCTATATGGGCACCAGTTCAAGTCCCAGCTGTTCCACTTCTCATCCAGCTCTCTGCCATGGCCTGGGAAGGCAGCACGAGATGGCCCAAGTCCTTGGGCCTCTGTACCCACATGGGAGACCTGGAAGAAGCTCTTGGCTCCTGGCTTAGGATCAGCTCAGCTCTGGTTGTTGCGATCATTTGGGGAGTGAGCCAGCAGATGGAAGACTCTCTCTCTCTGCCTCTCTGTAACTCTGCCTTTCAAATAATAAATTAAAAAATCTTAAAAAAAAAAAAAAAAAAAGAGAGAGAGAGAACTATATTCGCGGGCCTGGCACTGTGACATGGCAGGTAGTCACTTGCCTGCGATGTCAGCATCTCATATGGGCTCTGGTTCATGTCCCGGCTGCTCTACTTCCAACGCAGCTTCCTGCTAATGCACCTGAGAAAGTAGCAGAGCATGGCCCAAGTGTTTGGGCCCCTGCACCCAGATGGGAGACCCAGAGGAGGCTCCTGGCTCTGGCTTGGCCAGGCCCAGCCCAGGTCATTGTGGCCATTTGGGGAGTAAACCAGCATGTGGAATATCTATCTTTCCCCTCGGCCCCGTAACTCTGCTTTTCAAATAAAGTAAACAAACCTTTAAAAAAACAAAAACAAAAAACTATATTTGTTGGGGGGAGAGGGGCAGCATTTTAGCAAAGCTGGTTAAACTGCCACTTGTGACAGCAGAATTCTATATCAAAGTGATGGTTTGAGTCCTGGCTGCTCTGATTCCAATCCAGCTTCCTGCTAATATGCCTGAGAATGCAGAGGAAGATAGCCCAAGTGCTTGGGCCCCTGCCACCCACATCGGAGACCAGGATGGAGTTATTACCTGCTGGCTGCAGCCTGGCCCAGCCCCAGCTTTTGTGGCTATATGGGGAGTGAACCAGCAGATGGAGGATCTCTGTCTCTTCCTCTTTTTCTGACTCCTTGCTTTTCGAATAAATAAATAAATCATTAACCACAACAACAAAAGAACTATATTTGCAGACCAGCCAATTTTGGGGCATTTTCATTTTAAAGCTCTCTTTGCCCTATAAAAATCTCATTAACACTCAGAAACTCCAAGCTGGCTCATACCTTCGGCTACACCACAACACAAGCAGGTATCTTCCATCGCCCGCTCTAAGCAGGACAAACACCCTGTGTATTAAGTCTGAAAGCCAAACGTCCGGGACGGGACCACCTCCACGCTGCAGGTGCAGGTGCAGTACCCACACTCACGGCCCTGCCGGCACGAGCTGGCCGCAGCACAACAGGCCTTTCTGGATGCACGTCCACCCTGACTCGGGCGTAAGCAGCCCTCCCCCACTGAAACGAGCTGTCAACCCAACTCGTGACGGGTAACTGGGAGACACAGCTGGAGATGCTGAAATGGGGCCTAATGACCTCACGGAAAGCACGCTTGGATCTGATGGGCACGGGCTCATCAGACATGTCCAGAACGGTCAAGCAGGGTTCCTCAGACATGCACCGGAAAGCCACGCCCGGGGCTGCAGAGGGCGTACCTGGGTTGGACTTCATGGTTTCAATGATTACATCCGTCATTTCCCGACGGCCGAGATGCTGATGGATGACTGCAGCTTTCTCCCCGGGTGACTTTCCTTCTAAGCAGGCCACTGCGGAAGCTAGTGTCTTCTTTTTGATCTCCTCCTCAGACATTTCCCCAGCTGAAGAACACATGAATGATTAATACCTGAAAATAAAACAGGCCCTCTCCATTCCCAACGTGCCCGTCCAGAGACAGCGCCTCTCTCTCCCCTGAAGTGCCTTTGCACACGCAGCTCTCTCAGCTCTGGGACTCCTGCAGTACCCAGCTCGATAAATTCAGACACGCAGGGCTGCTCCACGTGACAGCAGGCACTTTAAAGCCAATCAACATGCCCAGGAGCCCTGGAGAAGGTTCAACAGTGAACGCCCGCTTTAGTAACACCTGCTGGCATGAAGCAACACTGATGAACACCTTCTCGGTGTGGAGCCCGAAATGAAGGAGTCAAATCCATTCACAGGCAGAATTCCAAACGCCTGTAGGAAACATCCGGCGCTACCCTCACGTCACGCCGTGGAAATCTGTAATTATTGTCTTAAATCAAGCAAGAACATCAAAAGGGACAGGGAGTTTGCAGGTTCACGTGGCGCATCCCTGACATACGCTTGTCGGAGCAGGCACCCGGCTTGTTCTGCCCACCACGGCACTCCCAGCCAGCACTGATACCACCACAGAGCCCAAAGCACAGCCGACGCTCTCTAAAAATCTGCTAAATACATGATTCCAGGACCGGCCCACGGCCGCTAAGTGACTAAGGCCAATGTAGCTGACTTTCAGAACTTAGAGGCCACTTGGGTCTTTCAGAGTGCTCATTGTTAGCTTTACTGGAATAGCTGTTTCTGGCCTTTTGCCCCCCCCCCCCCCCAGACAGAAAGGCGCCGGGACAGACCTCAACAGACAGGTTACTTCACTAAAGCAAAAGGGGGGGGTGACAGCCCGTGCCTACCCAGACAGGTTAAAGAGGGAATCTGCCCCTGCTGGGGGGGGGGGGGGAGGTAGAAGGCAGCTGGTGGGAGAGCAGGGGCTCTCTGAACCCGGGGGAACTTTCCTCTTACTGTGTCACAAGCTGTCCCGTGCAGCTTTCCTGTTTTGCAAGGGCTCTAGAAGGGCCTGGTCAGGCACCAAGGGTCTCAACAAAAGGGCGGGGACATGTCCTTTACTCCTAACCTTGAATTCAGTCACATTCAATGTTTAATTTGTAGCTCCAGGGTTCATGTACGCAGGGAAGAGATGTATTTCAGAGGGGACAGAACAGCGGGTAGGGCGTGGAAGTTCCAGCTTGCCAGGACAGAGGGCAGCGAAGCCGGGGAACTGTCCAGGGACAAGCCCTACCTGCCCCAGCCCCACCACAGTACTGCTGCCCCCACTGAACTGCTGGCATCGAGTCCACTAACAAGCGGAGGCCAGGTGTGAATTCTGCACGCAGCATCAGGTAAGGCCTGGAGGACCAGGGCACGGGGTCTCGGCTGCCTTCCCCACCGAGGAGGTGCCGGCTCTCAGGTCACCACTTACAGATAACCCCGGGCGGACCATTCAGTCACTGGGCCTCAGTAGGTAGGGCGCATGCCGCCGCCCGTGTTGCACGGTAATTAAAGACGATCACCACGCACGGTGGTTCTAGTGCGGGTACAGAGCCGGGATACACGGCAGGTGTCCACGTTTTGGTTCTTATTTCTAAGGTTACGGGGCATGTCCTTCCGAAGAGAATCAGTTTAAGTAACCCGGAGACCGCCGGCGTCACGGGGCCCCCGGAAAAGGGAGGCAAACGCGCACCCCGACTGCGAGGCAGGACGGGGACGGAGACGCGCGGGTGGAAAGAGAAGGCCCGGGCGAGGCACGGGACCGGACCGGACCGACGGACGGGGGACGCGACGGCCCCCAGGCTTCCGCCGGGGGAACAGCCCTCGCCGCCGCCAGTGCCCGGGCCGAGCTCCGGAAGGGCGAGCGCCCCAGGCCAGAGCCCAGGCAGGGCGGCGCGGCCGCGGGACTCACCGGCGGCGCTGAAGCCGAAGCCGGCGGGGACCGGCGAGTGTTCCGCGAGCTCGAGTCGGATGACAACCAGTGACACACTCATAGGGCAGGCGCTGGCCGGCGCGGGCCCCGGCGGGCTCAGGTGAGGCTGGGAAGCGAGCCGAGAGGCCGAGTGGCCCGGGGCCAGCAGCGCCGCCACCGCCTGAGCGCCGCCGCCGCCGCCGCCGCCGCCGCCTCGGCAGCAGCAGCTCCGCACGCAGCCCTCGCAGCCACAACAACCTCCACTTCCGCCTCCCGGCCGCCGTCGCCGACCCGCGGGGTCGCGCATGCGCGGAGGCGGGCGGGCGCGCGCCGACGGGGCGGGGCGAGGCCGCGCGCCGGGAGACGGGGTCTGCGGGAGCCCCGGGAGCCCCGAGGCGGCTGCGGTGTGCGGCGCTGCGCTTCCCCGGCGGCTGAGCGGTGGGTTTGCGGGAGACCTGAGGTAGCCTCTGCTCAGCGCACCTCGGCCGATGGCGCGGGGCCCTCTGGTGTCCTGGGCTGTGCCAGGAAGGGTTGCTCTGTGTCCACTTCACTTGACCGATCGGCGCGGGAGCGCGATGGCGCGGTGGCAGTCCCTTAGGGCGATGGGCTGGTTAAGACCTCCCCATCCCGGCCCGGCACTGTTGGGGTGTATCGGTGAGAAAGTTAAATACGGTTCCCGCCCCCATGGAGTCGACCTTCGTCACCCGCTGCGCCGTCGTCACTATCCTCCCCGGGTGCTGGTGGAAGTGACATGGGTCAAACTGGCTTTTTTTTTTTTTTTAAGATTTATTTATTTATTTGAAAGTCAGAGTTACACAGAGAGAGAAGGAGAGGCAGACAGAGAGAGGTCTTCCATCTGCTGGTTCACTCCCCAGTTGGCCGCATCGGCCAGAGGCCAAGAGCTTCTTCCAGGTCTCCCACGTGGGTGCAGGGGCCCAAGGACTTGGGCCATCTTCTACTGCTTTCCCAGGCCACGGCAGAGAGAGCTGGATCAGAAGTGGAGCAGCCGGTACTCGAACCGGCGCCCACATGGGATACGGGCACTGCAGGTGGCGGTTTTACCTGCGATGCCACAGTGCTGCCCCCAGACTTTTTTTTTTTTTTTGGACAGGCAGAGTTAGACAGTGAGAGAGAGGAGAGACAGAAAGGTCTTCCTTCCATTGGTTCACCCCCAAATGGCTGCTACGGCTGGCACGCTGCCCCGATCCGAAGCCAGGAGCCAGGTGCTTCTCCTGGTCTCCCATGGGGTGCAGGACCCAAGCACTTGGGCCATCCTCCACTGCACTTCCAGGCGACAGCAGAGAGCTGGACTGGAAGAGGGGCAACCGGGACAGAATCCAGCACCCCAACCGGGACTAGTACCTGGTGCCCCAATTGGGACTAGAACCCGGGGTGCCGGCGCTGCAGGCGGAGGATTAGCCAAGTGAGCCGCGGCGCCGGCCTCCATGCATCTTTCCATGCTCATCCTGGGCACCTGCTGCTTGTTCAGAAACTGCAGGCCTCCAGGGAATGCATGACTAATTTAGTCCTTGCCTTCCGGAGCCTACAGACGTGGGAACAGTTACTGAGTGATGCGGTAAGCACACTCCTGAAGGTCTGGAGAAACAGGGTGGAAAAAAACACAGTGTGCCTGCGGAAGGAGAGCAAACCTCCGCGCGCGGGGGGTGGGGGTGGGCTGTAAGAGTGAGTGGGATTCACCAGGCAAGGAGAGATGTTCCCGCCCTTGAGCACACAGGCAAAGGCCTGGACGCGAGAGCAGGTGCAGCGTTTTTCTGCTCCTGAGCCTTGGGAAGTGGCCAGAACCGAGCCAGTGCCTGCAGTGGACGGTCTAAGCAAGCTGCCCACACGGCAGCAACAGCAGGTCGTGTCCCCGCAACCACTACACGTGCCCTGTCAGGCTCCAAGGACACTGATCGTCTCGTTGAGCCCTCATACAAAATGTGGTGATGCCTTTGTGAGCCTGTAGGTGATTTCCTTGTGTGTCATGTAAATGTCGGCCTTGGTGTGGGAACAAATATTAAGTAAACTGAAAATGCAAATCAACCTCCAAATTTTTACTTCAAAATTTACTCCCCAATTCAGCAAATTTCCAATGACCTCAGAGGCACATTCCATTATTTTTTTTTTAAGATTTATTTCTTTATTTGAAAGTCAGAATTACACAGAGAGGAGAGGCAGAGAGAGAGAGAGAGAGGTCTTCCATCCACTGGTTCACTCTCTAGATGGCCGCGACGGCTGGTACTGTACCGATCCGAAGCCAGGAGCTAGGAGCTTCCTCCAGGTCTCCCATGCGGGTGCAGGGGCCCAAGGACTTGGGCCATCTTCCACTGCTTTCCCAGGCCATAGCAGAGAGCTGGATCGGAAGTGGAGCAATCAGGTCTCGAACCTCACCCATATGGATGCCGGCGCTTCAGGCCAGGGCATTAACCTGTTGCACCACAGCACCGGCCCCCACATTCCATATTTTCAAGACTTACTGCAAAGACTTCTTTCTTTAGACGCCTGTCTAGTTTGCTGTCTTCACAGCAGATCTGAAGTGACGCCCATAACGTCATAGGCTGTCTTGCCAACCTGATTTGGTCTGTCTTGATCCTCAGAAAGCTTTTTAACTATAGAAATCACATTTAAAAGCTTAAAGATTTTCATGTGAAAAATAGAATCTGCTTTAATTATTTCATTTTTTTCCCTAGCGCTTTTAATTTTAAACCTATAGGGAAGTTGAAAACAGTACAGTCATCTGACACCTTTCACCCAGGCTGACAATGAATGTGTTCCCATATTTGGATTGTCACTGTACACAGCGTCTACATGTATATGTATGTATGCCTGTCTATACACATGTAAATAGAATATGCTCGCGGATGTCTATTTTTTTTTTCTTGGACATTTTGAAAGTTTAGAAAAGGGGTAATGGACAGCCAGGTTAAGGAGCTGAGAGTTTACCTTGAGGGCACTGGCAACCATTAGTTTTAAATGGGGTTAGGATGCAGTTACATTTGTGGGGAATTCTTTTTTTTTTTTTTTTCCCATTTTATTTGAAAGGCAGAGAGAGAGAGAGAGATCATCTGTATCCTGGCTGACTTCCCCAAACACCGTCAGCAGCTGGGGCTGGACCAGGTCACAGCTAGGAGCCCAGAATTTAATCTGGGTTTCTCTCCATGGGGGAAGGGACTCAAGTACTTGAACCATCACCTGCTGCCTCCTAGGGTGCATTTTTTTTTTTTTTTAAGATTTATTTATTTGAAAGGCAGAGTCACAGAGAGGCAAAGGCAGAGAGAGAGAGATCTTCCAATTGCTGGTTTACTTCCCAAATTGCCACAACAGCCAGAGCTGGGCCTATCCAAAGCCAGGAGCCAGGAACTTCTTCTGGGTCTCCCACGCGGATACAGGGTCCCAAGCACTTGGGCCATCTTCTACTGCTTTCTCAGGACATAGCAGAAAGCTGGATCGGAAGTGGAGCAGCTGGGACTAGAACCAGTGCCCATATGGGATACTGGTGCTGCAGGCAGCAGCTTTACCTGCTACAGCACCGGCCCCCCAGGGTGCATATTAAGGAAGGAACCTGTTATCAGAAATGGAGCTGGGAGTCCAACCAGGCACTCCAGTGTGGCTGCAGGCATCCCAAGCATGTCGTAACCACTGTGCCCAGTACCTGCCCCAGATCTGCACTTGTGAAAGAGGACGGTGGCCAACGAGGGGAGGTTTCCAAAGAGACAAGAGACTGCTTAGGCTCTGTGGGGGGATGATGGCAGTGGGAATGGAGAGAGGCACGTGGAGATTTCCAGGAGGAAGAATTGACAGCACAGCGCAGCCGGAGGCGGGGCAGCTGGGCTGAGATGATGAAAGTCGCGGTGCATCCCAGCTGTCTAGCTCTAGCAGTCAGGGAGGGAGAGACGCTGAGGTCAGCTGGAGAGACGCACAGGTCAGACGGACTGTGACCCGTGCCTTCTTCCTGCACAGCCTCAGCCTCACCATGTGCACGCGGAGGCTTCTGCAGTTCCCGCTCCGCCGCTGGGCTTGGGGGGCAGCCTTCCTGAACCGCATCCAGTGCGGGCACCGGGGAGCCCGGCGATGGACACATTCCAGAGGGAGCGCCTACAAAGTGGTGATTTTTGACATGGGCGGAGTTCTCATTCCTTCGCCAGGGACAGTGGCTGCAGGTGAGCTCTGCGTCCTGTTTACTTTTTGGGTCTTGGGGATGGGAGGCGGGGGAGAGAGTGGGGAGTGGTTTAAAAAGTTAGAGAAGCTGGGACTGGCACTGTGGTGTAGTAGGCTAAGCGACCGCCTGCAGCACTGGCATCCCATGTGGGCGCTGGTTCATGTCCCAGCTGTACCTCTTCCAATCCAGCTCTCTGCTTACGGCCTGGGAAAGCAGTGGAAGATGGCCCAAGTGCTTGGGCCCTTGCACCCACATGGGAGACCTAGAAGAAGCTCCTGGATCCTGGCTTCAGATCGGCCCAGTTTCAGCCATTGTGGCCATTTAGGGAGTGAACCAGTTGGTGGAAGACCTTTCTCTCTGTCTCTGCTGGTTTATTCCTCAGATGGCCAAAACAGCCAGGGCTGAGCCAGGCTGAAGTCAGGAGCCAGGAGCTTCTTCTGGGTCTCCCACGTGGGTAGCAAGGGCCCATAGCACTTGGACCATCATCTGTTGCTTTTCCCAAGCCATTAGCAGGGAGCTGGGTTGGAAGTGGGGCAGTTGGGACACAAACTGGTACCCACATGGGATGCCGGTGTCACAGGCAGCAGCTTAACCCGCTACCCCATGAACCAGCATCTTAATTGTTAGGCCAAATGCTCATGCCAAGTTTTCAGTTTTAAAAATTATGATTTATTTATTTGTAGGATTTATTTGAAAGGCAGAGAGACAGTGAGAAAGAAAGACACAGGCAGACAGCGATCTCCCGTCTGCTGATTCATTCCCCAGCTGCCCACAATGGCCCGAGCTGGGCCAGGTTGAAGCCAGGAGCCAGAAACTCCGTTTAGGTCTGCCACATGGGCAGCAAGGATTCAAGCACTTAAACCTTCATCTGCTGCCTCCCAGGGCGCACATTGGCAGGAAGGTAGAATGGAGAGCGGAGCCAGGACTCACACCCAGGCACTCCGGTCTGGGATGGGATGTGGGCGTCCCAAGTGGTGGCTTAACCAGCTGTGCCGCAGCGCCCACCCCCAGCTCTTGTATGCATTTCACGGTCTAGTCCTTTTATTACAAGCAGTGCTGCACAAAGAGCCTTGTACCTAATCTTTGCTTACTTTCTATGTGTGAAAAAAATTCCTGGAAGTGAAATTACTGCACCAAATACATATGCATCTAAGATTTTGACGGAAGGTGCCAAATTGCTCTCCGTAGAGGTAGTGATAGTTCAGGCTGCCGTCAGCAGTGGATGGGAGTGCCAGTTTCTTCCATGCTCGCCAACTCAGGGACTGTCGAAAAGGCTACACATGTTAGATTGGCTCCAAAATTAAAGAAGTTTTTTTTTTATTGAGTTTTAATCTATTTATTCTAAAGTCAGAAATAGAAAGAGATTTCCATCTCCTGGTTCACTCCTCAATGCCCACAACAGCTGGGTCTGAGCCAGGCCAAAGCCAGGAGCCAGGAATTCCATCCAGGTCTCCTACACGGTGGCAAGGACCCAAGCACTTGAGCTGTCATCTGCTGCCTCCTGGGGTGTACTATCAGCAGGAAGTTGGATCAGGAGCTGAGTAGCCAGGTCTTCAACTAGGCACTGGATATCAGGTGCAGGCATCCTGAGTGGTATCTTAACCACTGTGCCAGTGCCCACCCGTGGAGTGAGTTTTAAATGTCTTTCTAGTCTCAATGACCATGCACTGGGTTGTTGTTGTTGTTTAAGATTTTAGTTATTTATTTGAGAGGTAGAGTTACAGTCAAAGAGAGGCAGAGAGAAAGGTCTTCCTTCCATTGGTTCACTCCCCAAATAGTCGCAATGGCCAGAGTTGCGCCAATCCAAAGCCAGGAGCCAGGCGCTTTTTCCCAGTCTCCCATGCAAGTGCAGGGGCCCAAGGACCTGGGCCATCCTTCACTGCTTTCCCAGGCCACAGCAGAGAGCTGGATTGGAAGAGAAGCAGCTGGGACTAGAACCAGCGCCCATATGGGATGCCGGCGCCTCAGACAGAGGATTAACCTACTGAGCCACAGTGCTGACCTCAATGCACTAGGTTGTTAACGTTGGTTATTTCTGAGGAGTGGGATTGCTTGCCATTTTACGTTCTTTGAAATATTTTCAATGCACAGGCACCACTTTATCAGAAAAACAACAAAAATATTTTCATGTCAAAATAAAAGACGTGTAAAATGCACAAGTAGTATATCTTAGGTAAATTGTATAATTATGAGTGCTCTGTATATATGTTATATAATACATATGTGTGTGCATATATGTGTACGCATATGCAGGCGTGTGTGTGTGTGTGTGTGTGTGTGTTGTCCCCAGCAGTTGTATTACAGAAAGAAAAACAACCTTGTACAGGAAAAATACAACGCTGTTCAGATGCTCCAAGTGTCACACAAATGCTGATCCATCCGCTGCCCTAACTTTTCATGGGTAGAAATTTTCTTCCTGGGGCTGGTGTTGAGGCACAGCAGTGCAAGCTGCCACCTGTGATGCCAGCACCCCATATCAGAACACCAGCTTGAGTCCCAGCTGCTCCACTTCTGACCTACTTCCCCGCTCATGTGCCTGGGAAAGCAGCGGCAGATGGCCCAAGTGCTTTGGCCCCTCTCACCCAAGTGGGAGACCCAGATGGAATTTCTGCCTCCTGTCCTCTGCCTGGCCCAGCCCCAGCCACTGTGGCCATTGCCTTGCCTCTCCTCGCCTCAGCCCTCCCTTAAAAACAGATAATTCTTTACAAAGAAAAGAAGCTTTCCTCTCAATTGCGCAGCGAGAGCACTGTCAACAGGGGTTTCAGAGTTGCCGAGGATCAGCGTAGTGTTCAGAGGAGAGCTGGATTTGGGGTTTGGGGGTGCTGTCAGATTCTGGCTGTTTCCTCCTGCGTCTCCCTCATGACGAGAGGCCCAGGGAGGAGATGCATTGCTCGGCATCCAGAGCCGTCTCATCACCTTGTTCTTCCTTGGGGACTCTGAGGCTGAGACTTGGCCTTGCATGAACTTCTTCAAGGTCCCCTCGTCACACACACTCCCCCCCCGGCACCATGGTAATTCCCCAGGAATCGGCGCGGCCATTCCCCCAAGCTCCCCAAACCTCACCCATTGTCTGTTTTACTTCCTACAGAATGGGAGGTTCAGAACCGTATCCCTTCTGGAACGGTACTGAAGGCCTTGGTCAGAGGTGGTGAAACCGGGCCCTGGATGAGATTTATGAGAGGAGAGATAACGAGAGAGGATTTCTTACAAGAATTTGGGAACTGCTGCTCTGAAATGGTGAGTGATAAACCTTCCTCTGCTTCTGAGTCATTTTGCCTTCAATAGTGGTCGCAACATGTATCCTAAGCTAGTTAGACTGAAAATAAAGTGAAAACTTAATCCATTATGTGTTTCTAAGCTATTTTTTAAAAAATTATTTATGTACCTAAAAGGCAGAGTTACAGAGAGAGAAGGGGAGAGACAGTAAGATCCTGCATCCACTGGGTCATTCCCCAAATGGCCACAATGACTGGGACTGGACCAGACCGAAGCCAGGAGCTTCTTCTGGGTCCCCCACAGGGATACAGGGGCCCAAACACTTGGGTCTTCTTCGGGGCTTTCTCAGGTGCATTCGCAGGTAGATGGATTGGAAGTGGAACAGCTGGGGCTTGAACCATCACCTGTGTGGGATACTAGCATTGCAGACATGGCTTAACTCACTGCACCAGACCATCAGCCCCTAAGCAATTTTTTCCACTCCTAGGCACTCAACTTTAACTTTTATAAGAAGTAAAAACATTATGAGGCCAGCACTGTGGTGTAGTGGGTTAAGCCGCCACCTGCAATGCTCGCGTCCTCCATGGGAGATGATTCAAGTCCCAGCTGCTCCACTTCCAGTCCAGCTCCCTGCTAATGTGCCTGGGGAAGCCCTACAAGAAGGCCCAAGTGCTTGGGCCCCTACACCCATTTGGGGACCCAGAAGAAGCTCCTGGCTCCTGTCTTTGGTCTGGCCCAGCCCTAGCCGTTATGGCCATTTGGGGAGTGAACCAGTGATGGTTCTCTCCTCCTCTCTATGTAACTGCCTTTCAAATAAAATAAATAAATCTTTTTAAAAAGTAAAAATATTCTTCATTAAGCCTCTCTAGGAAGCAAATGCTTCTGGCTTTGGCAGAATCTTTCTTGGGAGTGGGCATGTGGCTTAGTGGTTAAGACGCCTGTCTCCCATATTAGAGCCCCTGAGTTCAACACTTGGCTGCTGATGGAGACCCTGGGAGGCAGTGGTGACGGCTCCAGTAGCTGGGTTCCTGCCACTCACGCAGGAGAGCTGGATTGGGTTCTTGGCTCCTCCTGTTGGCCCCAGCCTAGGGCCACTGTCGTTGGTCATTTGTGGAGTGAACCAGCAGATGGGAGCTTGCTGTCTCTCTCTCACTCAAATGAATAAAAATATTTTTAAAAACTTACTTAAAGGAATAATAATATTGAGCATTTTCTCTGTGCCATGCAGCATTTCATATCCCTTATACTAACTTGTAACTCTCATTCTATTAAAATATAATTGAAAGTGCGAGAGACAGTGCATGGGTGGGTGGCAGTGATGGCTGCACAGCGATGTGACTGCTTAGTACTGCTGAGTTTGTACCCTGCAAACGGTTGAACTATAAATTTTATGTTATTTTCCACATAGAAAATAGCAACAGAAATGTTAAAACATTATGCTAAGTGAAAGAAACTAGTCAAAAAGGACCACGTATTGTCTGATTCCATTTGTGTGCAATGTTCAGAGTAGGCAGATCTATAGAGACAGAAAGGAGGTTCATGGTTTTCTGTGTCTGGGGTGTGAGAGGGGAAGGCAGAGTGACTGCTGACGAGTATGAGTTTCTCTTTAGAGTAACAAGAAAAGTTTCTAAAATTGATTGTGGTGATGGTTGCAAAACTTTGTGACTATACCATTGAACAGTACACTTCACATAGGTGAACTGTATGATTTGTTAATTATATTCAGTTAATCTATGATAAAATGTACATATATATTTTATATGTAATAAAAGGAATAATATTGAATATTTTTACTGTGCTGTGCATTGTTCCAAGCTATGCTGTGATAAAATATGTGTATATATATGTATGTATGTATGTGTTTATATTTTTTGTGTCTATGTGTTTATATGTTTGTGTATATGTGTACATATTTATATTTGTGTGTTTATGTGAATGATTATGTGTGTGTTTATATATGTGTATGTATATATATGTATGTGTGTGTGTTTATATAAAACAGTAGACTTGCCTTCGCATGTTTTGAAACATGCTCAAATACGAGCATTGAAAACCTATCTAGGGTGGAGGAGTTGTGGCTCAGCAGATCAAGCCATTGCTTGGGGTGCCTCATCCCACACTGGAATGCGGGTTTGAGATCTGCCTCCATTTCTAATCCAGCGTCGCACCAGTGTGCACCCTGGGAGGCGGTAGGAGTGATGACTCAGGTACTGAGCCCCTGCCACACACAGGGGGGACCCAGGCGGATTCCTGCTTCCTGCTTCAGCCTGGTCCAGCCCCAGCTGTGAAGTAGCAGATGGAGGATCTCTGTCTCTGCACTCTGCCTTTCAAATAGATAAATAAACAAAAATAAACTGCTTGATAACCGCACATATTGAATGTAAAACAAAATTGATGAGAAACTAAAATTCATAAAGGTGCTGCTGAGGCACTACAAAATCAGTAAGTGCTTTCTGGATCATTAAAAGTCAAATGACATCTGCCTTCCTACACTTCTATTGTTTACCGTACCCTGCAGTGTTCTGACTTTTAAAATATTATCAATCCATGAGTGGGATCAGGAACTCATTTACCGCAAGCATTAGCTCGCTCTCTGCTGGGAACTCGAAGTCACTATTCCAGGTTCGCATGCAGAGTCAGCACAGGATTGAGAGACAGCTCCTCTGGGCAGCAGGCCGCGGGAAGCCAGGGGTCAGTGCTATTCCGTTGGTTATGAGTAGTTCTCACTCTTTTCATTTTCATTTTCATTTTCAAGGCAGAGACAGCTCCTTGCCTCTGTTGTTTCTCTCTCCAAATGCCTACAGGATTGGACCAGGCCAAAGCGAGGAGCCTGGAACTCCCTCCAGGTCTTCCATGTGGGTGGTGGGGACCCAAGTGCTTGAGCCATTACTGCTGCCTCCAGGGTGGTGCACTAGCAGAGAGCTGGACGGGAAGCAGAAGAGCCAGGATTCGAACCAGGCACTCTGACGTGGCTTGCAGGCGTCCCAGGAGGGCACTTAGGTGCTGCACCAGACCCCAGCCCTGTCTCTCACTCTCAGTGACTGCTCTCCCCTCCCTGTTCCTAGGCAAAGGCTTCGGTACCTGTGGCCTCGTTTTTCTCTCTGCTGACCAGCGAGCGGGTGGCGAAGCAGTTCCCAGTGATGACGGAGGCCATTACTCGGATCCGGGCTAGAGGCCTTCAGACCGCAGTCCTGAGCAACAATTTTTATCTTCCCGATGGGAAAAGCTTTTTTCCCCTGGACCGGAGTCAGTTTGATGTGGTGAGCTTGAGATGATCCAGAAGCACTAACACGGGCTCTGTGGGATTGCTCCAGGATGCCCCATCAAATCCTGCATGGGACTGGTAACTGATTGGAGACCCCGTACATTCCCAAGTTCAACCTTAAGTTTCACATAGCACAGGCACCTCCATCAGCCCCCTATCTTTCCATCTGAAGATTTAATTATTTGTTTATTGATTTGAAAGGCAGAGAGAAGGAGAGACAGAGTAGGAAGCTGGTGGTGTGGAGTGGTTGGAACTCAGAGCAGGCACTCTGATACGGGACGTGCGTGTCCCAAGTTGTAGTTTGGCCTGCTGCGCCACAGTGCCCACCCCTGGCCTCGCTTCTTAGTGGGTCCTCTGACCTTTTCTCTTTTAAGAGCATCTATGGGGCCCTCCACTCACTATATCTGCCATATTCGTCCCTAGACCAGTGCTGTCCCTGAGCCTGACCTACTTCCCTGCTGCACTGCACGACGTGCTGCGTGTGAGCACACCAGCTTCGACACCCAGGTCACCATCTTGACTTCTGAAATGCGTCCCCGTGTCTCGCATCTCAGAGCAGTGATGAGTTCCCCAGGGCCTGCAAGGCCCAGCTGGGCAGGGGGCTTCCGGGGCCTTCCAGAATTGCTTGGATCACGAGGAGCCTTCCTCACCGCAATGTTCCAGGCAGATGGGAAACCTCTCCCCGGATGGAGCGAGAGCCATGTAGAGCCTTGGACGCACTAGGCGAAATGCCCCTGATAACCTGAGTGCTGTGCGTTTTAGTGACAGAGCCCCTTTCTGTTTCTCTGCATCCATGGGAACAGCAGTTTGGTTTCACTCCAGAAAGTGGTGTGTTCCCTGCCTCCATAGTCCTAAGTCTGTTCTTACGTGAGTGCCCCTCGTTGGACCACTAGGTTCAAGTAGAGGTGTCCACTTCTGCCTGCCCTCCACTGTCACCTTGGAGTTTGTCCAGGAGGTTCCCCTTGAGCGGTCTGGAGCGTAGAGGCCTGGCCATGTGAATTTAGGGACAGCGCCACAGGGGACCTGCTCCTGCTGTGCTGGCAGGGCGAGAGCTCCCTCCCTCGAGGCAGCAAGGGGCCTGTGGACCCACCTGTGATTCTCTCGTCTCATGACCTCTGGCAGGTCCCTGATAAACCAAGACTGTTTTTATCTCATACCTATTTGGGCAAATGCTGGCCTTGCTCCTACAGTTCCTGGTTGGCCAACAAAGTGATAGAAACTTTAACAGGCACATGCCATACCGTGCAAACTAGAAGAGCAGGAGGTGTCCAGGGGTCTCATCAAGCACATCCTGCCTCTCCACAGCCTGCAACGTAGCTTACCTGGTGAGGGGAGCTGTCTACAGGCGGCTCTGGGGCCCGTTCCCCCAGTTCCCGCCCCTTCCCATCGCTAGCCTCAACCACGGATGGGGTCTGAGCCGTCCCTTTCTCTTTAGGGAACCTTCTTTGCCTCTAGCATATCCCAGGTCTTAGCAGACCAGGAAGGGTAAGGAGAAAGGTGCAGTTGGTGCAGGATATTTATTTCCCTGACAGAGCAGTTCCTACCCAACCCAGAATGCAAGTGTGGAGTGGTGGGAGGGGCCCTTGCTTTTGTCCTTGGCCTTGGAGAGCTTGGATCATTCAGGGTGAGTCAGGGATTTAGTTCTATTCTTAGGGCAGTGCAGAGGGTACTGGTAACTGGTATATATGACGGGCTTGGACCCAGTTTATAGGTGATTAAGCCCCAGGGAGAGTGTCAGAGGACTTCTAGGGGGGTCTCTAGATTAGAGAGAGCCTGAGGCCAAGGCAGCTTTTATGGAGTTCTAACCTCCCCAGCCCCCTGGTTCCAGATCACATGCGGCTGTCAGGTACAGGACTCTGTGAGCATGAAAGGAATTGGTGGTCCTTGAGGTGTGAGCCATCCCAGGGGATTTATCTGTATTGACAGTTCATTGTTTAACCTCTGCAATAAACATCAAGGTTGAGTTTATTTTGTAGCACTAAACAGGGCCTTCTTTCCGTAGAGCTGAAATGCTGTCTTGCTTCTGCACATGGCATTAGCAAAACACTCTGTCTTTTTGGAACTCACTCAAGTTTCCCCACAACCACTCCAGTAGATAAGATGGCTGTTATTATTCCCATTTTACTGATGGTGAAACTGAGGCCTTTTGCGTCTTGGCTGTTGGCACACGTCACAGTGTCTGAACCAGAACTCTGGTTTCCTGAGCTTGGCCCAGGTTGTAACCTAGTATTTCCCTGTCACTCAGCGTAAGCAGGCACCATCATGTTATATCATGATACTCTCACCGTTACCTGTTACAGCAAATTTCAGCTGTCTTCCTTCCGAAACCACAGCAATGTGCATGCGCAGAGAGAGTGTGTGGGAGCTCCAGCTGTAGCACCCAGGCTCACTCCTGCCCCGTCCGCCTGCCTGCCCGCCCGCCCGCAGGTCGTGGAATCTTGCCTGGAGGGCATCAGTAAGCCAGACCCTCGGATCTACCAGCTGTGCTTGCAGCGGCTGGGCCTGCAGCCCTCCGAGTCCATCTTCCTTGACGATCTCGGACAAAATCTAAAAGCAGCAGCCAGCCTTGGTATCCACACCGTGAAGGTAACAGGTCACTATTTTTTGAACTGCTGTCTTTGTGCCAGACATTAATACAACCATTTCTATGCAGTCTGTTTTGTTTTGTTTTTTAGATTTATTTATTTATTTGAAAGGCAGACTTCCAGAGGGAGGGAGGGAGGGACGGAGAGGGAGAGGGAGAGGGAGAGGGAGAGGGAGAGGGAGAGGGAGAGAGAGATCTTCCATCCACTGGTTTGCTCTCCAAATGGCTGTAACAGCCAGAGCTGGGACGGGCCAAAGCCAGCAGCCAGGAACTTGAGTTTCCCATGTGGGTGCAGTGGCCCAAGGACTTGGGCCGTCTTTTGCTGCTTTTCCATTAGCAGCCATTAGCAGAGAGCTGGACGGGAAGTAGAGCAGTCAGGACCTGAACTGGGATGCCGGCGTCACAGGCGGCCGCTTCACCTGCAACACCACAATGCTGGCCCCTCTACGCAGTCTTTTTTACGTTCATCATTGTAGCTCTCCTTAGTGACTGCCCCCAAGTTTCCATGGTCGTGTTCTATGAACTGTGAAACGTATGTGACTAGCTATGGGTTGTATTTTCTATGGAAAGCAAGACAAACGCGTAGTAAGAAGGCATTCAGAGAAAAGAGACCCACAAGCAGGCGAATGGCAGCCCAGGGCCTTGGCGCCCTCCAGCCTGTCCTGATGCCGCTGTTCCGGTGACCAGCAGCTACAGCTGCCCAGGCCACCCGGGGCCATGGCTGTGCGGCCCAGGAAGCCCCGTGAGGGGCTCCTGTGTTGGGGTTTTCATTACTGAGCTGAGGGCCTGTAGGGACAGAGCCCACACTGCAGCCTAGGCGCCCCGTGCGTGAGCGTGTGCCGTGGAGCCTGCAGCAGCACGCTTTCCCGCTCAGCGTGGTCAGAGGTTGAAGGAGGGGGACCTCATCCTACGGCTTCCTCCTCAGCTGAACATCCTGCTCCGGCCCTTCCTCAGGGAACTGGCTCCTCAGGCGCTGCCTCCTAAAGGACTGCGCTCGCTGGGACCCACGTGTGGCACAGGTTAGGCCACTGCCTGCGATGCCAGCACCCCACGTCTGAGCTCATCTGGGCTGCTCTGCTTCTGACCCAGCCCCCTGCTCACGTGCCTGGGAAAGCGGCAAAGGCCAGCCTAACTGTGTGGGTCCCTGCCACACACATGGGAGACCCAGATGAAGTTCTGGGCTCCTCACTCAGCCTGGCCTGGCCTTGGCCTTGTGGTAATTCGGGGAATGAGTCAGCAGATGGAAGATCTCTCTCTCTCTCTCTCTGTTTCATCACCTTTTAAATAAATAAATCTTTAAAAAAAAAAAACAAAAAAACAAAAAAAAGGGCCAGCGCTGTGGTGTAGTATGTTAACCCTCCGCCTGCAGCACTGGCATCCCATATGGGCACCAGTTCTAGTCCCGGCTGCTCCTCTTCTGATCCAGCCCTCTGCTGTGGCCAGGGAAAGTAGTAGAAGATGGCCCAGGTCTTTGAGCCCCTGTACGTGCGTGAGAGAGCCAGAGGAAGCTCCTGGCTCCTGGCTTCGGATCGGCACAGCTCCGGCCGCTGTGGCCATTTGAGGGGTGAACCAGAAGATGGAAGACCTCTCTTTCTGTCTCTCCCTCTCACTGTCTGTGACGCTACCTCTCAAATAAATAAAAACAAAAACAAAAAACAGAAGCCAAAACCCTGCAAGTACCCGCACAGAGAACCAGCGCAGAGACGGCAGGGTGGCTGTGGTCCACGTCAGTCTTCTCTCTGAAACCAGGTCCGGGACCCGGAGACTGCAGTGCAGGAATTAGAAACGCTGCTGGGCTTCCCTCTGCGGCCGGGTGTCCGGGACACTCGTCCCGTGAGGAGGACGATGGAGATTCCCAAAGGGCCCCTGGAGAAGTACCTCAGAGACTTGCTGGGGACCCAGAGCACAGCAGGTGGGTGCGGTTTGTTTGCTGGCAGCTGTCTCCGGGGCGAGGCTTTCGTCCTGGTTCTCACTTTCCGACCCTGATGGAAAACACCAGAAACAAAGGGGCTGTGTGTGAGGACCACAGCCACGGGGCCCAGTGCATCTGAGTGCTGCTTTCAGTTTGGCCTCGGCAAAGGCATCGAGCTCCTTCCCCGTGCACCTGCTCAGGGCCGTCGTCCCCTGCCGTCCACTGGGGAGCGCGGCACGGACTGTCGCACGCGCACGGGGCGTCTGTTTCTGCTGGCTTGAGAAGGCAACTGCCAGGGTGCACAGCACCCTCTCCTTCTTCACATGACATCTGCAGAAACACAGGTGCCTGGGAGCCTTTGCAGAGAGCTCTGCCTGGAGAGGAGGGCCCCCTCATCCACCTGACCCTTACAAAGGGCTTTATTCGTGCAGTCCGTGTTCCCTTGTTTTCCAGTGGCTGGGCTCTCGGTCGCTGAGACTCCGCCCAGGCCGACTCAGGCAAAGTCTGGGCGTGTTACAAAGCTGGGTGAATTCGGTTCACCTCTGCCAGGAGCCCGCAAGGGGCCACAGAATCCGGCCTGCAGGGTGGGGAATGGCCTCATGGGAGAGCGGCCTGGCCCAGCCTGAAGGGCTCTGCACGGCTCCTTTCAGCTGTCACATCAGTGTCAGGCGTGGCTTGGCCCAGTCCAGGTGAGTGACACGCAAGGGCCCTTCTCATCCTGAGGCTTGAAGTGTTCCCCATGGCCAGGCGGGTTGCCCTGGCTGTGCTGTGCTGACAGCCAACATGCCGCTGTTCCCGGAGCAGGAGTTGGCAGGGAGGACAAAACCGGATGCCAGCACGGCCTGAGAACAGGATTGTCAAGCGGGTGGCCTTTGCCACACACAGTGGCAGCATGGGATGGTGGACCCCACTGGCCCGGGTGGACACGCTTGTCTCGTGCTGCACGCCAGATGAGGATTTCTTAGGTCCCAAACGCGGACTCTGGAGAGAATGTCTGTCCAGGTGGGTCCTGCAGGTCTGCTTTTGAGTTTTCTTTGTTTGCAAACTTGCAGGTCCCCTGGAACTCCTCCAGTTTGATCACGGACAGTCCAATCCAACTTACTACATCCGGCTGCACGGCCACCAGCTGGTCCTGAGGAAGAAGCCCCCAGGGACACTCCTGCCCTCTGCCCATGCAATTGAGAGGGAGTTCAGGTAAATGGCAGCACACTGTCTGCTCCCCACAGCCCGGACAGTGCACACGCTCAGCCCTGAGGTGACAGCCAGCCCCGTGCAGAGGGGCCCTGCAGGGTTCAGAATGACAACCTGCACCTGCGTGAGCTACTTCCGAGCCTTTCTCTAGGGGCCCTCTACATAGCAGGAGTGTGAAAGACCCTAAAACTCCAAGGCCTCAACTGTTTCCTGTGCATCTGGCTTCTGAACTCTGAGTATTCCCAGAGTACCAAGGAGTTCTGAAGTGCTCTAATGAAATTTTAAAAATCCAAGAGGGGCCAGTGTTTGGTGCAGTGGTTAAAACACTGCTTGGGACACCGTGTCTCTGTCAAGAGTGCCTGGGTTCAAGTCCTGGCTCCTCCTCCAACCCCAGCTTCCTGCTGATGTGCACTGTGGGAGGCAGCATGAGGTGGCTCAAGTCCCTGGGTTCCTGCACCCATGTGAGAGACCTGGATTGAGTTCCTAGCTCCTGGCTTTGGCCAGGCCCAGCCCTGGCTGTTAAAGGCATTTGGAGAGTCCATCAGTGAATGAGAGATTTCTCTGCCTTTCAAATTAAAAATGAAAAGAAAGAAATAAAAATTTAGTTAAATCCCAAAATGCACATAATTTCCATTGTAAAAAAACAAGATGTTCATTTGAAGATGAAACATGACATAGGATCTGCTTACAAAATGCCAGTGTAAATGTGAGCTATTCTAGAAAACAACATGATACAACCAGAATGAGCTTCCTTTTAGACCTGTTAGTTCCAATTCTATTGCTATATCTTAAATAATTCTAAATAGGAAAAAACAGCTTTATGCATTAATATGTTTACTATGGTGTTATTTATAATAATAAAAAGTTGGGGCACACCCAAAGGCAGGGGTGGGGAACCTTTTTTCTGCCAACAGCCATTTGGATATTTACTACATCATTCACTGGCCATACAGAATTATCCGCTTAGAAGTTAGCTCGTTGTAGCATAGTGGGTAAAGCCAGTACCTGTGATGCCGGCATCCCCTATGAGTCCTGGCTGCTCCACTTCCAATCTAGCTCTCTACTAATGCACCTGGAAAAGCAGCAGAGTATAGCCCAAGTTCCGTGTACCATGTGGGAGACCTGGAAGAAGCTCCCAGTTCCTGGCTTTAGATCGGCCCAGCTCCAGCCATTGTAGCCATTTGTGGCATGGATCCAGCAAATAGAAGATCTCTCTATAACTCTACCAAGAATTTAGCCTGCTGGGTCCAGCATTGTGGCATAGCGGGTAAGATTGTCACCTGTGATACCAGTATCCGATATCAGTCCCCATTTGTGTCCCGGCTGCTCCACTCTGATGCAGCTCCCTGCTAATAGCCTGGGAAAAACAGTGAAAGATGGCCCAAATATTTGGGCCCCTGCTACCCACATGGGAGACCCGGATGAAGCTCCTGGCTCCTGGTTTGGACCTGGCTCAATACTAGCCGTTGTAGCCATCTGGGGAGTGAACCAATGGAGGGAAGTGTTCTCTCTCTCTCTTTCTCTCTCTCTCTCTCTCTCTTTTTCAAAGAAATAAAGGAATTTTTTTTAAAAAGTAGCCTGCTATAGATTTATTGAATTTCAAGTTCTGCCTGTGGTTGCCTTGGCAGGGCTAGACCTTATACAGGTACAGTCTCCACCCCTGCAAGGTACAATGACCGGGAGATGAATACGTGAACCCTGGCACATCTACTTGTTGCAACAAGTACCACTTCATGATGGGGTTGTGTCCTGAGAAATGCATTGAGTGATTTCAGCACACATTCTTCAGTGTACTTACACACACCTAGATGCTGCAGATCAATCACTCAACATGATCTCTGGTTTTAAAAACACTTATTTATTTGAAAGAGAGCAACAGAAAGAGGGAGAGACACACAGAGAAATCTACCACCTAATCGTTCATTCCCCAAGTGCCCGCAACAGGGAGGGCTGTGGCGGCCAAAGCCAGGAGCTGGGAATTGCATCTGTGGGTCTCCCATGTAGACAGCAGAGACCCGAGGACTTGGGCCATCTTCTGCTATCTTCCCGAGCACATTAGCAGAGAGCTGGATCAAAAGCAGAGGAGCCAGGCGAGGGGTGGCTTGGCATTGTGGTGCAGCTGGCTAAGCCACTGCTCGTGACACCAGCAGCCCACACTGGAGCTGCTCTGCTTCTGTTCCAGCTCCCTGCTAATGTGCCACGGAAGGCAGTGGAAGAAGGCTGAGGTACACGGGCCCTGCCACCCACATGGGAGACCAGGATGGAGTTCTTGGCTCCTGGCTTTCGCGGGCATATTGGAGAGTGAAGCAGCAGGTGGAAGATCTCTCCTCCCTCTCCCTCTTTCTCTATTCTGCCTTTCAAAATAAATTTAATAAAAGAAAAATCCGAGGAGTCGGGACTTCAACTGGCCCTCCAGTATGGGGTGTGAGCACCTTCATCAGGGGCTTAATCCACTGCAGCACAACACCTGCCCAACCTCTTTTGTAAAAAGTGTTTTATTTATTTTTTATATATACATAATATATATTAATTATATATAAATACTATATATAATAATTGATATATAAATATTATATATATATATATAAAAGAGAGATCCCTTCCACTGTTGCCCACAACAGCAAGACATGGGATAGGGCTGAACCTGTGAGCCAGGTGCTTAATTGACTCTTAATCCCCTTTTCCAGGACTTTTTGAAGTAGACGTGTAGTCGTGTTTTAACTATTTTTAAACACAGTTGTGCACAGGGAGCAGGTGCTTGACCTAGTGTTTGAGATGCCCGTGTCCCGTAGTAGACCGCTTGGGTTTGATTTCTGGCTCCAGCTCCTGACTCCAGCTTCCTGCCAGCTCAGAGCCTGGGAGGCAGTGGTGATGGGGCAGGCAATTGGGCTCCACACAGGCAAGAAACCTGGATAGAGTTCCTGGCTCCCAGCTTCAGCCCGTCCAGTCCTTGCCTTTGTGGGCATCTGAGGAGTAAACCAGTGAATGGAACTTTCTCTCTCTCTCTATCTCTCTCTCTCTGTCCACTGCCCCCCACCATGTTGTTTCTCAAATAAAAAGATGAATAAATCTTCATTTTTCTAATATTAGCATTTAAAGATACAGATTTCTTTCTAAGCAGTTCTTTAGCGGCAGCCCACAAATGTTGACATTTTGTGTTGGTGGTGGTGTTGTTCCAGTTTAAAATCTTCCCTAATTCTCCTGTGATTTCCTTTTTGATCCCTGGATCACATAGAAATGTTATTAAATTTCCAAATATTTGGGTACTAAATTTTTTGTAGATATCATGCATTAATGATTTCTAGCTTAATTCTGTTGTGGTCTGGGGACTATTCGATAAGATCCCCGTATTTGCTGAAATTTATTGAGACATAGTTCCTGGGCCAGCGTGTGACTGATCTTGGTGAATGCCTTGTCTGCACTTGACGTAGTATGTGCTCCACAGTTGTCCACCAGGTGTGGTAGGGGTGTCCTTAGGCCCGGTTGGTTGGTAGTGCCATTCAGACCCGTGTCTTTTAGATCTACCTTCGTCTAATTCCATCATTACTGAGACGGGTGTTAAAATCTAAACTTTGATTGTAGATTTGCCCATTTCTTTACTTTTGATCATTTTCTTTAAAAAAAAAAGATTTATTTATTGGGGCCAGCACTATGGCGCAGTGGGTTAAGCCATGGCCTGTAGCACTGGCATCCCATATAGGCTCAGGTTCAAGTCCCAGCTGTTCCACTTCCTATCTAGCTCCCTGCTGATGTGCTTGGGAAAGCAGTGGAGGATGACTCAAGTGCTTAGGCCCCTGCACCCATGTGGGAGAACTGTAAGAAGCTCCTGGCTCCTGGCTTTGGCCTGACCAAGCCCCAATCATTGTGGTCATTTGAGGGAGAGATGGAAAATCTCTGTGTGTCTCTCTCTCTTTCTCTAACTCCACCTTTAAAGTAAATAAATAAATCTTAAAAAAATTACTTATTTATTTGAAAGGCAGTTACAGAGGTGTGTATGTGGGGGGAGGGATCTTCCATCCACTGGTTCACTCCCCGATTGGACATATAACAGTCAGCACTGGGCCAAGCCCAAGCCAAGAGTTTCCTCCAGGTCTCCCTCCCCCTGGGCAGGGGCCCAAGCAGTTGGGCCATCTCCCACTGCTTTTCTCTGACTATTAGCAGGTCTCGAACTGCTGCCCATATGGGATGCTGGCATCACAGGCAGCAGCCTTACCTACTACAGCACAACACCAGCCCCACTTCACGTATTTTAAAGCCCCGTTGTCAGGCACATATACATTTATGATTGTAATATCTTCCTGATGTATTGAATTCATTGTTGCATCATTTGGAAATACCTCTTTGTCTCTGGTAATACTCTGTCTTAAAGTGTACTTTACCTGATGCTACAGGTGGCCTTGCCAACTGCATGCTGGTTGCCTTTCCATTCTTTTTGTGTGTTTATATCCAAGTTTGTCTCTTGTAGACACCATGGAGTTAGGTTGTGCTTTTCTATCAGCCTTGATAATTCTGTCATTTCTTGAAATGTTTATTTATCCGAGAGGCACAGAGAGAGAGAGAGAACTGCCTTCCTAGTTTACTCCCCAAATGCCCATAGTGACAAGAACTGGGTCAGGGCCAAAGCCAGGAGCCAACACACAATCCAGGTTGCCCACAGGCAGCCACGTGAGCCGTCAGTGCCGCATGTCAGGGCTGCGGTGCAGGATCCGGAGTCAGAGCCAGAGCTGGGGATCGAGCCAGGCATTCTGGTGTGGGACACAGGCGTCTTCTCTGACATTGATGGGAACTGTAAGCTGTTAAATTCAGTGTAACTAGTACATTTGATGTAGGGATGTGGTTTTGCCATTTGTTTTTTGTTCCATATGATTTTTTTTAAGATTAATTTATTTGAAAGGCAGAGTGACAGAGGGAGAGGGAAAGGGAGAAAGGCAGGGAGAGAAAGATCTTCCACCTGCTGATTCACTCCCCAGATGGCCGCAGTGGCAGGGGCTTGGCTAGGCCAGAGCCAGGAGCCCCGAATGCCACCTGGTCTCCCACATGGGTGTCAGGGACCCAAGCACCTGGACCATGGTTTGCTGCTTTCCCAATCGGGTCTCCAACTGGCACTCTTGCAGGGGTGCCAACGTCACAAGCACTGGCTTAGCCTGCTGCACCACAGTGCTGGCCCCTAGTTTTTAAGTCAGAGAAGTAATTTCTAGAAAATCTCGCCAGTTCACCCAGGAGTTAGACTCGTTTTCTTTCTTTTTTAATGCTTGTTTTCATCTGCTATGGCAGGGTGATGAAAGCCCTTGCAAGTGCTGGAGTACCCGTGCCGAAGGTGCTTGACCTCTGTGAAGATTCAAGGTAAAGTGCAGCCTGGTTTTGCCACCGCACAGCCACGCTAGGAGAGCAAAGTCCATGAGCGAGCTCAGGTTCCGCCTGTGAGAGTAAAGGCGGGGGGCGGGGGAGCTGTACTTTGGAAATTATATTCATTAAATAAAAGTTAAAAAAAAAAAAAAGAGTAAAGGCAGACCAGGTAGAAGAGGCACCTTGCAGCTGCCGCCCTCGGAGGCTCTCGGATCTCCAAGCTGTCCCGAAAGATGTGGATGCCTGCTTCTGTGAGAGCTGGTAGAAAACAGTCCTGTCTTTAACATTTAAAACATGGAGATCCATCTAGTTTCATGTTGCATATTTTTGTTTATTTTTTACGGCGGTCTTTTTTTATAGGAAGTTTTTATTTAATAAATATAAATTTCATAGGAATGGCAGTCTTTTAGTTTAAAAGCAATTCAGCTTTTTTAATTACTTTAATCACATGCTTTTTTTTGTCCAATTTTTTAATTATGAAAATTTTGAAGCATACAGGAAAGATAAAAGAAGACAAAATTTTACAATTTAAGCCTTACCTGAATTAAAATAGCATTAATATTTGCCACACTTGCTTTCTGTGTATGTATGTGTTTAGTGTACTTAGGAAATAATGTTTTTGGATGAAATTTTAAGTTGCTGAAAGCCTGCATCTCTTAAGAATACAGACATTTTCTTTCATAACCACAACACCACTATTGCACCTAACACAATTAATAATAATTTAATAATATTTAATACCTAGCCCCTGCTTAGATTCCCCCAGTTATCCCAGGAATGTTTTCTATAACTTCCCATCAGGATAAACATTTGCAATGGTGTACTTTTCAAGACAACGTTTCAGGGTGGTGAACTGACTTCTAGACATGACCACGGTCATTAATGACACATCCAGGGGCCACCCTAATGCTGCCAGGCCGTGTGTGTGCCACACGAGCCACCAATCACCCTACAGCAGTAACACCCTACAGAGGGACATCTGTGGGCCCCTCACTGGCATCAGACGCCATGCCCGGCACCCCCGTGTATTTGCTCCCTGAGTTCTTACAACTGCCCTTGGAAGAGGCTTTCAAGTATCTCAGGGCCACGTTGCTAGCCAAGGGCGGAGGTGGGAGTTGCACCTGCTGCCCTCTTACCGCAAAGCCCCTCTGCCAACCATGCTGCTTCCCACATTGTCACACTTAGCCCGTGCCCATGGCTTCTACAGATGAACCAAAGGAGAGAGAGGCATGCCCGTAGGGAGCACAGACAGGGGGTGTGGAGGGGGATCAGCTGAGCGAGGCTCAGTGCCCTGCACGTTTGTGCAGAGGATAAAGGAGACGTGCAGCGCACCGGGTGTGAGCTCACCAGCGTGCAGACTCTGCACACAGCAATGCTGTGACCATCCGCCCACCTCAGAGTGAGCTGAGCCCCTGAGACACTCTGCCTGTGTCCCTGCCAGTGTCATCGGGACCCCCTTCTATCTGATGGAGTACTGCCCCGGCCACGTCTACAAAGACCCCTCGCTGCCAGGCCTGGAGCCAAGCCAGAGGAGAGCCATATACACTGCCATGAACAGAGTCCTGTGCAAAATCCACAGCGTGGACCCCCAGGCCGCCGGCCTGGAAGACTACGGGAAGCGAGGTGAGCCAGAGCCGCGTGTCTCTGTTGGTTGCCTCCTCCCTGGCGGCTCTGCTCCCAGGACGGGAATGGCCTCGGGACCAGCGCCCCGAGCGCTGGCTGGAAGCAGGGTGGACTTGGCTCCCTCCGAGGAAATCCAGTTGAATGTTAATGGAGCTGCTGCTTAAGTGGACATTTTATCCTGGACAGATCCTTCCCTGGACTGTAACTTTTATCTCGCTAAACCGTTTTCCATTTTTCTTTCTTCTGCTGGTCAAAGGTGTTTAAGACACATTCTTCTCCATTCCTACCCTTTCCCCTGAATATTCTTTTCTGCAGGGATTTTAAATGCCACTCCGGCAGTCTGTTTTGTTTTTTGTGCTCACATACTTTGTTTCTGCCTTTTTCTAGTTTTTAATATCAGAAGTTCCAGTTCTTCATCTTTGTCAGCATTTGCTGACAAAGGGTTTTCCCTCCCCCCTTTTTTTTTTTTTTTGACAGGCAGAGTTAGACAGTGAGAGAGAGAGACAGAGAGAAAGGTCTTCCTTTGCCGCTGGTTCACCCTCCAATGGCTTCCGCAGCCGGTGGCCACAGCGCACCGCGCTGATCCGATGGCAAGAGCCAGGTGCTTCTCCTGGTCTCCCATGGGGTGCAGGGCCCAAGCACTTGGGCCATCCTCCACTGCACTCCCTGACCACAGCAGAGAGCTGGCCTGGAAGAGGGGCAACGGGGACAGAATCCGGTGCCCCGACCGGGACTAGAACCTGGTGTGCCGGCGCCGCAAGGCGGAGGATTAGCCTAGTGAGCTGCGGCGCCGGCCCCCCCCTTTTTTTTAAAACTTGGGTTAATTGAGGTTGACTCAGTCTCCAAGTTTTGACAAACGCACACGCGGTTTCATAACCACCGCCACAGGTCTGTGTTTGTATGAGGAAACTTTTGCCTGAGCCAAAGATTCCGCTTCTGCGAAAGGCGATCTGACCGTCGACCAGGGTGGGCTCCTGGCCACAGGGAAGAGATCTCTCAGCTAAGCTGTGTTTGCTTCCTCCGCTGCTTGTGACCCAACGTGTGTGTGTTCTCCAGGATCTTATCAAAGGTCGTGCTGTGCGTGCGATGTCCGTCAGCTTCCCCACACATTTCTGCCCTGGGATGGAAGTTCCCCCTCTCCACGGGCACCTGGTCTGAGCCCCTAGACTCGCAGACTCGAGGGGGCCCTCGCTGCCCACACCTCCTCCGAGCACAGCCACGGCGTGTTCTGATACGACGCTTGCAGCACCCGATTCCTGAAAACAGTTCCCCTATGGGGCAGGACTCTTCGAGTTGCAAATTTCAGAAACCCAGTCCAAACTGGCCAAGTTCGAATTTTGAACTTGACTGGCCGTCACGACTGAAAGGTGCAGGAATCAGGCCTTGGGGCCTGCAGGACCTGCGGGCTGTCGTTCTCAGTTTCTCTCTTCTCAGCTCTTCTTTTGGTTTCATTTTCAGATCCTCATTTGGTTCAGTGGTGTGGGCTGCCAGGTTCAAACCCAGGGCAAAGAGAAACCCGGGTGGGGTCATGGGCCCCGCTGGGTGCCAGCGACTGGCTAGGGGGTGCAGTGATCTGAGCGGTCCTGGGTTCCCATTCTGTAAATCCAGGGAGGGGGTGTCAGCCACACCAAGACAGTTTCTCCAGAGGAAATCTCACTGTGCAAAACTTAGGTGCCACACTCAGCAAACTGAAAATGCAGGATGCCTCGTTGGGGCTGAATTCCAGATAAACAATGAATAATTTGTTTTCTTGGACACACGATCTGAATTCCCAAAACCAACAGCTTTAAGGATTTAGTGATAACTTACAACCTAACAGGCTTGCCAACTTCCTCCTCAAATTGAGGGGCTCCTCGCCGTGCCCCCTTCCTAGTGCAGCAGGTCCGTAGTAAGCCACTACCCACAGGTACCAACTCAGCGGGGTTCCCTGCACTGTGGTGGTCCCCTCAGGAAGTGCTTACACTAACCTGTGTCGTCTACCTGGGAATCAGGTAGAACAGGGCGTCCTGTGTTTGATCTGGCAGCCCTAGTAATCAATAACAGGGCCAACCAAGGTTAGACAGGTCGAGCCAACAGATGTGCGCCATGCTGGCCCATTATTTTAAAGTGGAAAGAGCACTGGGACCAGAAATCAGATGGCCATTTGTCTGATGACCTTGGGTACGTAACATTATCTCGTCATAGTTTTTTTTTTTTTTTTTTTGACAGGCAGAGTGGACAGTGAGAGAGAGACAGAGAGAGAAAGGTCTTCCTTTGCCGTTGGTTCACCCTCCAATGGCCGCCGCTGCAGCCGGCGCACCGCGCTGATCCGATGGCAGGAGCCAGGATCCAGGTGCTTTTCCTGGTCTCCCATGGGGTGCAGGGCCCAAGCACCTGGGCCATCCTCCACTGTACTCCCTGGCCATAGCAGAGAGCTGGCCTGGAAGAGGGGCAACCGGGACAGAATCCGGCGCCCCAACCGGGACTAGAACCCGGTGTGCCGGCGCCGCAAGGTGGAGGATTAGCCTATTGAGCCAAGGCGCCGGCTCTCGTCATAGTTTTCTCAGGAAGGAGGTGGAGTTCCAGAGCTCTGTCCTGTCTCCCCCACAGGGTGAGGGAGGCAGCAGATGAGGTGGCAGCAGCCTAGTGCTTTGAATGAGGCAGGGTAAGGCCTTGGGCAGGATAAGATACCCACGTCCCATATCAGAGCGCTTGAGCCAGACCCGCCACTCCAGCTCCTGAGTCCAACTTCCTGCTAACGCGGACCTTGGGAGGCAGCAGTGATGGCTCAAGTAGTTGGGTCCCTGCCACCCAAATCAGGGACCTGGATAGAGTTCCCAGGTCCCGGCTTCAGCCTGGCTCGGTTCCATTGCAAGCATCTGGGGAGTGAACCAGCAGGTGGGAGCTCTCTCTGTCATAGATAGATAGATAGACAGACAGACAGACAGACACTAGCTAGCCTGAAGCAAGTGAAGTCATGAGCTGTGTGATGCCTGCTATGGAGAGATGACAGTTTATGGAAGGCTGTCTCATGTACTCTCCCATCCGAGTAAGTCCTTTACCTCTTTTTAATTTTTTAAGACATTTTATTTCTTTGAAGGGCAGAGTTACAAGAGAGGGAGAGGGAGAGAGACCGAGGGCTTCTATCTCCTGGTTCACTCCCTGATGACCACAATGGTCAGGGCTGGCCCAGGCTGAAGCCAGGAACCCAGAGCTTCATCCGGATCTCTCACATGGGCGCAGGATCCCAAGGGCTTGGGCCATCTTCTGCTGATTTTCCAGACACATTAGCAGGGAGCTGGATCAGAAGAGCTGCCGGGGGGCCGGCATGGTGGTGCAGCGGGTTGAAGCCCTGGCCTGAAGCGCAGGCATCCCATATGGGCACCGGTCCTAGTCCCGCCTGCTCCTCTTCCCATCCAGCTCTCTGCTATGGCCTGGGAAGGCAGTGGAAGATGACCCAAGTCCTTGGGCCCACATGGGAGACCTGGAGGAAGCTCCTGGCTCCTGGCTTCAGACTGGCACAGCTCCGGCTGTTGTAGCCATCTGGGGAGTGAACCAGCAGATGGAAGACCTCTCTCTCTGTCTCTACCTCTCTCTCTAACTCTGTCTTTCAAATGAATAAAATAAATCTTAAAAAAAAAAAGTGGAGCTGCCAGGACTCAAACTGGCGCCCACAGGGGATGCCCGCGCTGCAGGTGGCAGATTAACCTGTTAACTCCACAACACTGGCCCCACATTTTTTAAATTTGCGAATGGACTGTTCCGATGCTCCTTCCACTGACCTATTAGCACAAAGAGACAAAGCAGAAATCTGATTGATTTCACGTGGCCCAGGGCCAGTGTTGCCGTGTTTGGACGGACAGCAGAAAGCAGAGTAAAGGACGCAATGAAGTCTTCCTCCCAGCTGTCCGCACTGCCACTGCACTCCTTTGCCCCGAGGCAGCCTGGGTGACCAGCTCCTTAGGTAACCTTTGGAGGTAGTCTATGCTCACACAAACCGACGTCTAAACCTACCTAAACATTTATATGTACTTAAATACCATGGGGTGGCCGTTATGGTGCAGTGGGTTCAATCGTGGCGTGGGACACCTGCCTCCACTTCTAACCCAGCTCCCTGCTAATGTGCCTGGGAGGTAGCAGATGATGGCTTGCAGTCCTCCACATGGGAGAGCAGGATGGACTTCCTCCTGGCTCTGGCCTGGCCCAGCCCCAGCTAGCACAGCCATTTGGGAAGTGAACCAGCAGATGGAAGATCCTCCCTCCCTCCCTCCCTCCCTACCTCCCTCTCTCTCTCACTGCCTCTCAAATATATAAATCTTTAAAATAAATAAATACATACATACACCCTCTATTTACATGAATGGTGGCATATACATAGCTATTTTATAGGTAGCCTGATAAATTGCAGGTTTCTCGAACCCATAGCTGGATCTGTGGACGCGAAATTCCATAGAGCTGTCTAGGCTCCGCTGAGCAGCCGTGTGTGCCAGCACTGGCTGGGGCATGTGATGTGTGGATTTCGTTCGGTCTTTGCAGCCGCTCTGTGGGATGTAGGTATCAGCGTTTCTGTTGGGTCAGTGAAGCAGTGGAGGCTTGGAGAAGTCAAGCCAAGTATGGAGCCTGAGCTGGCTCACCTCTTCGTGACCCCTTCCAGCTTATATTCACAGACATAACCTTCCAGTCCCTAGACCATGGCCTCGCCCAGGCTTCTGAGCGAGCGACTGAGTAATAGTACCAGACACTCCTCCTGGAGCACTTACGACATGCCGGGAACCGGTCCAAGGGCTTTGCGAGTCTTATCTTCCCAAGGGTTCTATGGGGACCATCTCAGAATGAGGACACGAAGGCACAGCAAGGTGGAGGAACCTGAGATTGGCAGAGCTGGGAAGCGGCCCCTGGCAGTCGGCCACAGAGTCCATGCCCGCAGCCAGCCGCTGGTGCGGAGCCAAAAAGGGATTTTTAAAAATTTTCATTTTTAGGCCGGCACCGCGGCTCACTAGGCTAATCCTCCGCCTTGCGGCGCCGGCACACCAGGTTCTAGTCCCGGTCGGGGCGCCGGATTCTGTCCCGGTTGCCCCTCTTCCAGGCCAGCTCTCTGCTGTGGCCAGGGAGTGCAGTGAAGGATGGCCCAAGTGCTTGGGCCCTGCACCCCATGGGAGACCAGGAAAAGCACCTGGCTCCTGGCTTCGGATCAGCGCGGTGCGCCGGCCGCAGCGCGCCGGCCGCAGCGCGCCGACCGCGGCGGCCATTGGAGGGTGAACCAACGGCAAAGGAAGACCTTTCTCTCTGTCTCTCTCTCTCACTGTCCACTCTGCCTGTCAAAAAAAAAAATTTTTTTTTTTCATTTTTAGAGACCTTTATCTGCTGGTTCATTCCCCAAATGCCCACAGCAGCCAAGACTGGGCCAGGCTGAAGCCAGGAGCAGGACCTCCATTCAGATGTCCCCCAAGGGTGGCAGGGACCCGGGGACTTCAGCCATCACCTGCTGCCTTCCAGGTGCTCCTTAGCAAGAGACTGGACAGCAGGTGGAGCAGCCAGGACTTGAATCAGGCTCTCCAGAATGGGAAGCTACGCCAAACGCCCAGTCCGAAAAGGGATTCATTGACGGCTGCTAGGGAGCTCAGGGGATTTCTAACTGGGCCTGGGATTGGGCTTGGAAGTGTGTGGCTGGGAAGAACGCCCACACCACACTGATCCCACCCAGACGAAATGGCCCATGGCTTTCACCTTGGGGGCGCCAGGAGAGCCCCCGGGAAGTCCCACAGCTGTGCACTGCAGGCGCTGCTGTGGGAGGGGCACTCCCTGGTCAACCTGCTCCTCCCCCTCAGGGGACTACATTGCCCGTCAGGTGCAAACCTGGACGAGGCAGTACCGCGCCTCCGAGACCAGCACCATCGCAGCCATGGAGAGGCTCACCGCGTGGCTGCCGCAGCACCTGCCCCGCCAGCAGAGGACCACGGTGGTGCACGGGGACTTCAGGTAGACACGGCCGCCCGGAAGACCGCTCTATGGGTGTGCAGAATCGGGGGAAGGGCATTGAAGCCCTTTGGTGCAGCTTCCAGTGGGGACTTATCCCATCCCCAGCACCTCCCTGGGCGTGGCCTGCCAGGGCGGGGTTTCTCTGCCTGGGTGCTGTGACATCTTGGGTCAGAGAACTCTTTGTGGCGGGGGCGTCATCCCTGGGCTCTGCCCACCTTGACTGTGACAGCCAAACGCATCTGCAGACCTTGACCTGGGAGGCAGCACCTCTGTGAGGAGGGATGGTAGAGCCAGGCCAGCAGTGGACATTCTTACTGGGTGTGAAGTAAAAGGGGGCCTCTGTGTGTCTCTGGGCTTCCCTGCATGGTCTGTCCAGCGTGGTCTCAGAGCCACACAGGTGAGCGGCCTGGGCAGAAGCTGGCTCACGTGTCCAGGCCCCATCTGGTTGGGGCCCTGTGATTGCTTCCTCCTGTGGTGTGCTGGTAGCAGTGAGGAGCTTCAGGGGGTGAGGGATTAGACTCCGCCTGCTGTGGGAGGAGAGCCAAAGAATTTGCAGATCTGTTTTAAAACCATCACCAGGAGGAAGTAATGACCAGGACCCAGAGAGCGTGTCCGTGGGGAGGGCTCCAAAGCCATGGCCGTCTGCAGAGAAGGGGCTGGGGACAACTAAGCAAGCCCTTCCCGTCTCCTGCAGGTGTCTCCGACTGACTGCGTGCAGCGGGGAGCCAGAGGGCAAAGCCGCAGCTCTGGCCCTGGCGGGTGGGGAGCGGGCCTGGAAGGGCAGGTGGACCGCGCAGGCCCCGCGCAGCCCCTGGCTGCGTCTCTCCGTTCCTCCTTGGCTTTTCAGGCTCGACAACCTGCTGTTCCATCCAGAAAAGCCCGAGGTGCTTGCTGTGCTGGACTGGGAACTGTCCACCTTGGGCGACCCCCTTGCCGATGTGGCCTACAGCTGCCTGGCGCACTACCTGCCGTCCAGTTTCCCCATGCTGCGAGGTAGGAGCTGCTGCAGGGGGCGGACTGGGCCAGCCAGCTCCTTGCTCAAAGCCTGCAGCAGCAAACTGAAGCGGTCTGCAGTCGGGCTGGGGCGTGACAGTGAGGCCCTGGTCCTCGGGAGAAACGTAACTGGCACGTCTTCGTGTCACCCTGGGGGAGTGCGTGTAGGGTGCACAGTAAGTGAGGAGCACGCCTGTGTGTGCACAGCACACAGCTAACTTCTAGTTAACTTTTTAGATTAGAAATACAAGTTTATTGTAAAAATGTTATAGACCTAGCAGAGAGCAAAAGAAAAAGAAAAAGTTAAAATCATTACTAGTCCCAGAGAAAATCCCTGCTGATATTTTGTTATCTATTCTTGTTACCTTTTATGTGCATTTTTTTAAATTTGGGAGGCAAAGAGAAAGACAGACAGACAGAGAGTGAACTTCCATCTACTGATTCACTCTCCAAAAGTCCGCAATGGTTAGCATGAAGGTGGGAACCGAGAGCTCAATCCAGGTCTCCCACATGGGTGCCAAGAACCCAAATGCTCAAGCCGTCACCTGCTGCCTTCTGGGGTCTGCATTAACCTGGAAGCTGGGCCAGAAGCCAGGGTGAGAATCCAGAGCTGGTATGGACCCACGCACTCCAGTGTGGGACTCAGCACCTTAACCACCAGGCCAAATGCCTGCCTCTATAAGTACACTTTTTAAAAACAAAAGTGTGATTGTATGATGCTATGACTTTTTCTCTTACTTACATACTTTGGGCATTTTTCCTGCCATTAAATATTTCCTCTACTACACAGTCTTTAATGACAGCATGGGATTTCATTGTATAGAAGTAAGAAATTCTGTTCAATTTCTATTTGGATATTTCATTTGTTTCCGGTTTTTTAATATTAGCCCTCTTCTGCAAAAGCAGTGAACGTGTTGTAGTGATACCTTTGTTATATACAAGGTATACTCCCAGGACCGGCTCCTAGGAACAGAATCCCTCACTTGCTTGTAAATCATGAAAATGTGGTCACCCAGTGAATGGGGCAGGCACGCCAGGCAAAGCGACGTTAGCTGCCACTTGTGACGCCTGCACATCAACAGCGTCAGTTCGAGTCCTGGCAGATCCTCTTCCGATCCAGCTCCTGCTCATGCACCTGGGCAAAGCAGTGGGTGATGGCCCAAGTGTTTGGGCCCCTGACACCCACATGGGAGACCGGGATGGAGGTCCTGGCCCCAGGCCTCGGCCTACCCTCTGTGGCCATTTAAACTGGTGGATGGAAGATCTCTGTCTCTCCCTTTTCTTTGTCATTCTACCTTTCAAATAATTTTTTTAAAGATTTTATTTGCCGGCGCCGCGGCTCACTAGGCTAATCCTCCGCCTAGCGGCGCCGGCACACCGGGTTCTAGTCCCGGTCGGGGCACCGGATTCTGTCCCGGTTGCCCCTCTTCCAGGCCAGCTCTCTGCTGTGGCCAGGGAGTGCAGTGGAGGATGGCCCAGGTGCTTGGGCCCTGCACCCCATGGGAGACCAGGAAAAGCACCTGGCTCCTGGCTCCTGCCATCGGATCAGCGCGGTGCGCCGGCCGCAGCGCGCCAGCCGCGGCGGCCATTGGAGGGTGAACCAACGGCAAAGGAAGACCTTTCTCTCTGTCTCTCTCTCTCACTGTCCACTCTGCCTGTCAAAAAAAGAAAAAAAAAAGATTTTATTTACTTGACTGGTAGAGTTACAAACAGCGAGAGAGAGACAGAGAGAAAGGGCTTCCCTCCATTGGTTCACTCTCCAAATGGCCACAATGGCCGGAGCTGCAGCAATCCAAAGCCAGGAGCCAGGTGCCTCTTCCTGGTCTCCACGTTGGTACAGGGGCCCAAGGACTTGGGCCATCTTCCACTGCTTTCCCAGACCACAGCAGAGAGCTGGACTGGAAGAGGAGCAGCCAGGACTAGAACTGGCGCCCATATGGGATGCTGGCACTGCAGGCGGAAGGATAACCCAGTATGCCACGGCACTGGTCCTTCAAATAATTTTTAAAAGACTCAGTGAAGTGTTTTGTTTCTTATGTTTTCCATAATTTGATGGGATCCCTTTCGATGCTGTTTTTTAATCAAGTCACTGGCTGAATACACTATACAGCCGCCCTGAACTGTGGGGGCGGGGGAGATAGAACTGGAGGCCTCATTCCCTCCTTTGCCGCTAATTGAGCCCGAAGCCTTTCAGAGCCAGACTGTGGCTGCTAACCTCCACCTGCGTCCCCAGCCATCCGAGGGAGAAGGAGCCCTTGACCTGGCGGTGACACTAATCTCTGGAGGTCGTGGGGACATCTGCATGGAAGCCTTTGACGGCGGGGCCGGCTCTGCCTCTCCTCCCAGGTTTCAGTGACCAGGACCTGACCCAGCTGGGGATCCCTGCCGCAGGGGAGTATTTCGAGATGTACTGCCTGCACATGGGCATCCCTGCCGTCGAGAACTGGAACTTCTACCTGGCCTTCTCGCTCTTCCGCGTGGCCGCCATCCTACAGGGCGTCTACAAGCGGGCGCTCACAGGTAAGGGGGGCTGCCCGGAAGAGCCAGGAGGGCCTGTGTCACAGGCAGAATGGCCGCTCTGTCCAGAAGCCCGCCCAGCCTGGCCGCCCAGGCCTTGGAGGGATGGGTTGGGCCAGAATTTTTTTTTTTTTTTTTTTTTTTTTTTTTTGACAGGCAGAGTTAGACAGTGAGAGAGAGACAGAGAAAAAGGTCTTCCTTCTGTTAGTTCACCCCTCAATGGCCGCTACGGCCGGCGCTGCACCCATCCGAAGCCAGGAGCTAGGTGCTTCCTGCTGGTCTCCCATGGGGGTGCAGGGCCCAAGCACTTGGGCCGTCCTCCACTGCCTTCCTAGGCCACAGCAGAGAGCTGGACTGGAAGAGGAGCAACCAGGATAGAATCCGGTGCCTCAACCGGGACTAGAACCCGGGGTGCCGGCGCCGCAGGCGGAGAATTAGCCTAGTGAGCCGTGACGCCGGCCCAGAATTCTTTAAGATTCAGTTAATTCAACTGTTTATCATTAAATACATACACGTGTACACACGCAGAGAGAAACACATATATAAGGATGTGTCTGGACATATGTATATGTATCCTTCAAAATTTGATAACTTTTTAAAAAATGCTTATTGGAGCTGGCACTATGGCATAGCTGGTTATGCCTCCACTTGCGATGCCAGCGTCCCATGTTGGAGCAATGGCTCATGTCCTGGCTGCTCCACCTCCAATCCAGTTTCCTGCTAATGTGCCTGGGAAGGCAGCGGATGATGGCACAAGTATTTGAGTTCATGCCACCTGTGTGGGAGACTAGGATGGAGTTCCTGGTGTCTGGCTTCGGCCTGGGCAAGACCTGGCGGAACCATTGGGTGAGAAATGTCTTCTCTGTCTGTCTCTCTGTCTCTGCCTTTTGACTAAATAAACCTTAAAAAGAGAATAAAAATTCTTATTGGTTTTCATGTACTTGAAAGGCAGAGTGACAGGGAGACAGAGCGAGATCTTCCAGGTACCGGTTCACTCCCCAAATGGCTACAACTGCCAAGTTCTGGCCAGGCCCAACCCAGGAGCCTGGAACTCAATCCAGATCTCCAGTGTGGGTGGCAGGGACCCAAGTGCTCGGGTTTGTGCGTTAGCAGGAAGCTGGTTTCGAAATCAGACAGAGACTCAAACCCAGACCCTCTGATGTGGCACGTGGGCCTTAGCCGCTGTGCTGTGCACACGCCCCTGCTGTGGTGCTTGTCCGTTTCCTGGTGGGCTGCCTGAGGATCATGCAGGATTTCTTACAGCAGACGTGACGTGAGGTGTCGCTGATGACGCTTTGCTTCTTAGGGAAAGAAGGCGTGGGGCGCAGGGGCCCGGCAGGCCCAGCAGACCTGTGGCTCGCAGCCGCTCATTCGCAGCACACGCAAGTCTCCTCCCTCTCTGAGACTCCCTGCCTTTCCCACAGAGGGAGCACCCCAGTGTCCCGTGGCTCTGGGAATCAGCGAGCTCTACTAGCTCTTAGCACAGTACGCAGCAGGTGCTCAGGGCCGGCTGCAGCTGCGGGTAGAACGACCACACTGTCCCAGGCTGACGCCAGGATGAGGGACGCTGGGAGGAGTCACTGCTTTTCTTTGCTTCCGCTTAGGGCAAGCAAGCTCAGCCTCTGCTGAGGACAGTGGGAAGCTGACCGAGTTTATGGCTAACCTGGCGTGGGATTTCGCCGTCAAAGAAGGGTTCCGGGTGTTCAAAGAGATGCCAGCCACGAGACCATTAACGAGGTCCCACCACACACGGGCCGGTCCGCGGCCCCCGCCGAGCCGCACAGGCACGAGGAGTTACAGCTCCGCTGCAGGAGCTGCCTCGGGAGCGCTGGTCTTCTCTCCGGAGGGCCTCTCCCCAGCCGCCAGAGAGCTGTACGAGCGGCTGGCCCGGTTCATGCAGCAGCACGTGTACCCCGCGGAGCCAGAGCTGCAGAGGCACCAGGCCTCAGCGGACAGATGGAGCCCGCACCCGCTGGTGGAGGACCTCAAGGTAACACAGGCTGTCGGCGGCCCCTCCCAGGCACTGAGGAGGCTGGGGGCCCACGCTGACTGTTCTGGGCTCTCTGTTACTCTGCTCGTGCTCAGGTGTGCCTGCGCGGCCCAGGCAGAGGAAGCTGTGTCTGTGCCTTAGGGACCAGGGACAGGCGGGCTTGTGCCGTGCGTAAGTTATGCACAAAGTCTAGAGTCTGCAGCGGCACAGCTGGCGGCCAGATCAGGTGCATCTCAGTGACGCCGCTGCAGCTGACTCCTCAGTCAGGGTTAGCCTGGGCTTCTGTTAGTTTGTAAGTTACTTGAGATTCTTTTAAAATATATATTTGAAAGGCAGAGAGACAGGGGGAGACAGAGAGAGAGATCTTCCACCTGCTCGTTTACTTCCCAAATGGCCACAGCAGCCAGCGCTGGGCCAGGCCACAGCCAAGAGCCCAGAACTCTATCTGGGTCTCTCCCCTGGGTGGCAGGGACACAAGGACTCGAGTCGTTTCCTGCTGCTCCCAGACACATTAACAGGAAGCTGGATGGGAAGTGGAGGAGTCAGGACTCTGACTGGCTCTCTGATACAGATGCCAGCCTCCCAAGTGGCGGCTTAACCCGCTGCGCTGCAGTGCCCGTCCCCACCTGCTACCAACAGGAGAACAATGTAAGCATCACCTCTTTTCTAAAAAAAAAGATACCATCATCAGTTTTTTTTTTTTTCTTGTTACAAACCAATTGCAAAAGTTAACAAAGCTCAAACATGACCGAAGGACTAACGTGGAAAGTAAAAGTTCTCTGAGATTCCCCGCCCTCTGAGATAGCCAGGTCGGCAGTTTGCTGATGGGCCCAGCATCTTTGTCATCTGCTAACATGTGGTATTATTCCCATGTTGTAATGGAATCGTTCTCTGCGTCTTAATAGCATAGCCCCTTTCCACATCAGCACATGGACAGCTGCCTCCCAGGGGCCCCACAGTGGTGGGGCCACTCCCATCCCTGGCTGAAGGCCATTGGCAGTCTAGGTGCAAGTCCTGAAGCCAACTCTGGTCCCTTGAAGCAGCACTCACAGGGGCTGCTGGCATTGCAGACACCGGGTAACCCACTGCACAGCACCAACCCTGCCTTCCACTTCTGATCCAGCGCCCTGCTAATGCTCCTGGGAAGACAGTGGAAGGTGGCCCAAGTGCTTGGGTCCCTGCCACCCCGCTGGGAGACCCTGACAGAGCCCCAGGCTCCTGGCTTCAGCCTGGCCCAGCCCCAGCTGTTGCAGCTATTTGGGGAGTGAACTAGTGGACAGAGATCTCATGCTTCTCTCCCCCCCCCCCCTAATTAAAAAAAAAAAAATTATTTTTTTTTTTTGGACCGGCAGGAGTGGACAGTGAGAGAGAGAGACAGAGAGAAAGGTCTTCCTTTGCCGTTGGTTCACCCTCCAATGGCCGCCGCGGTCGGCGCGCTGCGGCCGGCGCACCGCGCTGATCCGATGGCAGGAGCCAGGAGCCAGGTGCTTTTTCCTGGTCTCCCATGGGGTGCAGGGCCCAAGCACCTGGGCCATCCTCCACTGCACTCCCTGGCCACAGCAGAGGGCTGGCCTGGAAGAGGGGCAACCGGGACAGAATCCGGCGCCCCGACCGGGACTAGAACCCGGTGTGCCGGCGCCGCTAGGTGGAGGATTAGCCTAGTGAGCCGCGGCGCCGGCCTCTCCCTCCTCTTTCTCTGCCACTCCAGCTTTCAAATAAGTAAATCTCAAAAAAAAAAAAAAAAAAAAAAAAAAAACAGGCAGCAGCGTGGACAGGGACCCTGAGGGAGGAGCTGACTTCCTGAGACAGAAGCCAGGGGAGGCAGGCCACGGGCACAGCCCTGGGGTTTGAGGTGGGGATTCCAGCTGGCCTGGTCTAAGCCGCTAGATCCATGCCCCTTCTGCCTCTGCAGTGCAGTACCTGGCCCTGCCCCAGCAAAACTCAGACGGGGAGAGAGGTCCCCGGTTAGGAAGGGGGTTGGGCCCCTCTGCCAGCAGGTGCACTGTGTGTCCTTTTACGTATTCCTCTGTGCATTCACTGTTGCCACAGGAGACATTCTCTGCAGTGAAACAGTGGTCCAAAAATGAGACCACTTCGAGGCGTAATAAACACGGTCGGATTGTCACCAGGGTGTGCTCCCATCGCACGTGTGTCGAGTGCCCGGCCCCCTCACACCGGCCGCGCGCTTCCTCCTGGCCCATAGAGCTCTCCTGGGCTCCCCTCCTCTTCCCTCCCAGCATGCTTCCTCCTGGCTGGCAGCGGCACAACGACACCAGACTCTAAAGAAACACCTAGCAAAACCCCCTCCCTAAACATTCTGCTGCGATTTTGCCAGCTTGGTGAAATCGTGGCCTGAGACTTTCATCCAAAGTGTCATTACTGCCCATAAATGAGAAGCGCTCAGCTCTTTACCTTGCGGTTCACAATCTGGACACGTAACCGTTAGTGTCTTCAATTTAAAGGTAAAGGAACAGGTTTGTGTGGGGTACGCAGCCAGGAATAACACCTGGATTCCATCCAGATCTCTGGCTCAGATCCTATTCTACTCCCTGACCCTTCAAGTGAACAGCCCGTCCATTTCCTCCTTGCTCCTTCTCAGAACTCCCTCTCTGCCTCCGCCTCCCTTCCCGTCCATTTGTTCCGTGAACGGTCACCCTGCCCCAATCAACAGCAGAGAGGGAGACGAGTACGTGAGGGACTGTGGAAGCGCATGACACTGAGCCAGGCTGGCCGGGGCCCTCCCAGCGAGCAGCGGTGACGAGAGTTACACACCCGGATCGCCGGGCTCGCCGCAGCCCTCCCACCTCTGCCCCGGCGCCTCAGTCCATCTGCGCACAGCCCAGGTGTGGCTGCTGTGGACGTTGGCTGGCTTCGGGCTGCCCGGTGTCTGCCACCCCACCCCTTCTCTTGGTAGCAGCACCAGAGTCCTACTCAGGGTGTTTCTCCCCCTCTCCCCGCCACTCCACGCCCCAGTTCAGCTGTGGTGTAGAGGGACTGTCAGGGTCCTGGCCAGGCCTTCCCTGGCCAAGAAGTGGGCACGGGAGCGCCCTGGGCCAGCCAGCTCCGCCTTCCTGCACTGGAAGATCGGAACAGCCGTGTGCACTGAGCTCCGCCGTGAGCGGCCCGGGCGCTGCCCTCCAGGTGGCCGGGCCCTCGCCTCGCCTCGCCTCGGAAGGAGCCCCACTCTGGAGTCTGTCCCATCCGGAGTCCTGAGAAGCGCCTACGGCTTCCTCCTCTACCCCCTCATCTGCAGTCCGTCTCTGGGGCTGCACCGCAGCGCCTGACGGTCAGGGAGGTTGCTCACGGTCCCATCTCACAGACAAGAACGAAACCCAGCGTCCCCCCACTGCTGTGGCCGGGCTGGGTCTGACGGAGGCCTGAGTGCCTCGTCCCAGGGCACACTGCCTGGCTCTCCATTCTGAGTGACAGACATGTAGGAACAGGTTCCTGTCCCAAGAGCAAAGCTGGCCTCTGGCCTCATAAAGGAGCTTGTGTGTGTGTTGTCGGGGGAGGGAGGGTCCCCCTTTTCAACCTCAGCCTTGGCTGGGGCTGCAGCCGCAGGTGCCGGGGGATGCTGCTCACCGTGGAGAGGGTGCGTCTGGGAGGGGGAGCCCCGGGCGGGACTCGCTGCTCCCCAGACACCTCTGTAGGCAGAGACCCAGCCTGAGGGCCGGCTCACGTCAGTTTAGGCACCTGCTGCATCCGGGCTCTCTTCTTCCTTCCCAGCCCCATCCTTCTCTTCCGCTGTAAAAATAAAATCCAGTCCTGACATACTTTCCCATAACAGGAGAAAGCCAAGGCCGAAGGACTTTGGAACCTTTTCCTACCCTTGGAGACTGATCCTGAGAAAAAGTACGGGGCAGGACTCACCAACGTGGAGTACGCGCACCTGTGCGAGCTCATGGGCACGTCTCTGCCGGCGCCCGAGGTACCTGCTCCGTCATGCCCTCGGGGGCGAGCACACCACGCTCTGCCAGTCCCACTCCCCACAGGAGAGCGAGGCACCTGTGTGAACTTGAACTTTCCCTAGAGAGGAAGGGCAAGCACAGGCCAGGGATGGGAGTCACCTGGGAAGACGGGAGTGGGCCAGCCCCCAGCCTCCTTCCACTTCACCTAGACAGGGGCTCTGGAATTCTAGAATCAAAATGTGCGATGGAGAGGCGGGGCTTCGTGAGGTTGTCAGAGGGTGACTGGAAGGGGTCCTGCTCCGGCACTTCCGGGGTGTCTGGCGTTTGCACCAGACGCAGGCATCGTGTGGGCGCCCTTTTGCTCCTCAGATATTCAACTGCTCGGCGCCGGACACGGGGAACATGGAACTGCTGGTGCGCTACGGCAGTGAGGAGCAGAAGGCCCGCTGGCTGCTCCCCCTGCTGCAGGGCAAGGCCCGCTCCTGCTTCGCGATGACCGAGCCCCAGGTACCTCGCTAGGGCGGCCCCCACTGCGGGGCCCTGGGCTGCCAGCGGGACCGTGGCTGAGTGGAACGCTGTCCTGCAGGTCGCCTCCTCCGATGCCACCAACATAGAGGCTTCCATCCGGGAGGAGGGCGGCTGCTACGTCATCAACGGACACAAGTGGTGGATCACAGGTATCTGGCCTGAAACTGGCTCCTCAGTGCCCTCGGTGCTGTGTCAGATGCCTGGCAGGGCAGCACACCCCCGGGGACGAGAGGGCCCTGCGGGGGCGTGCTGTCTCTCAGGAGACCACACCGATGACAGGCGTGTGCCTCACGGAGGGGACAGCTGCTAGGGACGGGTGGCGGCCACATCCCTCGCTCCCGGGTCAGGTGCGTTACAACCCAAGGGCTGGCGAAAGCCCCGCCCTCTCTGGGGTTACCTCTGCAGGGCCCCCATGAGCACTCCAGAGGCTTTCATCTCCCGAGAGGCAGGTGGGGCCACCCCGTTTTACAGGGCGGGAAGGCAGGTGGGGCCACCCTGTTTTACAGGGCGGGAAGGCAGGTGGGGCCACCCCGTTTTACAGGGCGGGAAGGCAGGTGGGGTCACCCCGTTTTACAGGGCAGGAAGGCAGGACTCGGGGCAGCAACTCCAGTCACTGGCCGCAGAGAGGGACCCAGAGTGAGAGGGCTGGCTGGTGCCCAAAGCGTCTGCTCCAACACCTGTGTGCACAGAGCCGACCAGGCCACAGTCCTCAGCCTCTTGTCCTTAAATTCCATTTCCAACTCCACAAGACACTTAAAAAAAAATGCTTATGATGTTGGATTCCTTCTTCATTGGGCCAAAACCCACTTTGCTCTTACTTCTGGCTGAAAGCCCGCAAGTACTGTCAAATGACAGGGAGTATTTCCCGGCTCTGTCTGCCCGGGACCAGGTGATGGCAAGTGTCATGGCTCTGGCGTCTCTCTCCCTTCCTGGCAGGCATCCTGGATCCACGCTGCCAGCTCTGCGTGTTCATGGGGAAAACAGACCCACACGCCCCGCGCCACCAGCAGCAGTCCGTGCTCTTGGTCCCCATGGACACGCCAGGGGTAAAAGTCATCCGGCCTCTGACGATGTACGGGCTGGAGGACGCTCCAGGTCAGACCCCTGCGGGCGGGGCGCCCTGGGTGGGTCTGGTCCTTGCTCAAGTTCAGGACTCCTGCATCTCAGGGTACGGCGACATCTGGAGGGCCTCGCACGCCTGCATGTCAGTCCCGTACCTTGAAACCCAGCCACACGGGCAGATGTCCAGCAGGCATCCACGCAGCTGACTCTAGTACACTCAGAAGAGGAGCAGGACCCCGGGGGACAGACACCCCGGGGAGCCCAGGCAGAGGCGCAAGCGTCCACCAGGCCCCAGTGTGCGGAGTGACCCTAGGAGTGACCCGGGGGCCAGAGCTGTGGGTGGGGCCCGTCACGGGGTTCCCTGGCAGCAGTGTGCACTTCGGGGATTCCCCGGGCCACCACCCTGTTAGAATCCTGAACGTCTAGGGGCTGTCAGCTTCAGCCATTTTGTTTGTCAGAGTAACGGCAAAACAGCCGTTTGCCATTAGACATCAGTGATTCACTTTCCATCTGTAATGGGCGCCTCCTTCCTGCCCGCCCTGTGTCCCCATAGAAGCCTGTGCCGGGGCAGCAGATGAGCCCGAGGCACGGGCCGACCCCAGCCCAGGAGAGGGCTTTGGTGGCCGGCTCAGGCTGGTGTGTTTGGGTCTTGCAGGCGGCCACGGCGAAGTCCGGTTTGAGAACGTGCGTGTGCCCCGGGAGAACGTGGTGCTGGGCCCGGGGCGCGGCTTCGAGGTCGCCCAGGGCAGGCTGGGGCCCGGGCGGGTCCACCACTGCATGAGGCTCATCGGCTACTCCGAGAGGGCGCTGGCGCTCATGAAGACCCGCGTGAGTGCCCCCCCCCCCCGCCCGGAGGCGGAGCCACCTCTGCTTTGCTGTCAGCTTGAGCCCTGCCAGGAAGCCCTGTCGCTGCCTTCACTCCACGTGTGCTGCTTTGCTGCGGTTATGAAATTCAGAGCCCAAGGGCCCCGCTCCGGCCAAGTGACCCGCTCCGGCCAAGTGACCCGAAGCGCAAGGCCAGGTCTAGGGCAGGCTCCAAGGTCCAGAGGGTCACGGGCTGCCCAGAGCCACTCAGGTTCCCAGCGCGTGGTTAAATAGCAGAGAGCAGGGAGAACTCCTGTTCATTTTAAAAACTCATTTTTATCCCTGGGACTCCAGCGTCTGCCCCTCTGTCACCCTCCTCCTACAACGTGTCCGGAAAATACTATTTTGCTGTGACTCTCTCTCTCATTGGGAGCCTACATAAAAGACACCTACCACGGACAGCAATTCAAATCACTGGTAGTGATTTCACAAGTAGGAAGCAAACCCTTGAGACCAAAACAAATATCTCACAAAAAATGGTATTTAGGGGGCCGGCACTGTGGTGTAGCGGGTAAAGCTGCTGCCTGCAGTGCCGGCATCCCATAGGGGCAACAGTTCAAATCCCGGCTGTTGCACTTCCAATCCAGCTGTCTGCTAATGTGCCTGGGAAAGCAGCAGCAGATGGCCCAAGTACTTGGGCCCCAGCACCTGTGTGGGAGACCCGGCTGAAGCTCCTGGCTCCTGGCTTCGGATTGGCCCAGCTCTGGCTCTTGTGGCTATTGGGGAATGAACCAGCAGATGGAAAACCTCTCTCTCTCTCTGCCTCTGCCTCTCTGCAACTCTGCCTTTCAAATAAATATATAAAAAAAAAAAAAAAAAGAAATGCTCTATAAGTCGGCACCGCGGCTCACTAGGCTAATCCTCTGCCTTGCGGCGCCGGCACACCGGGTTCTAGTCCTGGTCGGGGCGCCGGATTCTGTCCTGGTTGCCCCTCTTCCAGGCCAGCTCTCTGCTGTGGCCAGGGAGTGCAGTGGAGGATGGCCCAAGTGCTTGGGCCCTGCACCCCATGGGAGACCAGGAGAAGCACCTGGCTCTTGCCTTCGGATCAGCGCGGTGCGCCGGCCGCGGCGGCCATTGGAGGGTGAACCAATGGCAAAGGAAGACCTTTCTCTCTGTCTCTCTCTCTCTCACTGTCCACTCTGCCTGTCAAAAAAGAAAGAAAGAAAGAAAGAAAGAAAGAAAGGAAAGAAAGGAAAGAAAGGCTCTGTAAAGAGCGGAGGGGCGGTGTTGCGGCGCGGAGGCTGCTGCCCGGGCCGTCCACATCCCGTGTCAGAGTGGCTCCACTCCTGAGCCAGCTCCCTGCTGATGACACGGGAGGCAGCTGGTGATGGCTCAGAACTGGGTCCCTGCCTCCCCCGTGGGAGACCCAGATGCGGTTCCTGGCCCTGGCATCGGCCTGGCCCAGCCTTGACTGTTGTGGGTTTTTGAGGAGTGAAAATGGACAATTTCTCTACTTCATTTTTTAAAATTGATTTCAAAGACAGAGTGGCAGTGTGGTGGATGCGGGATGCAGCTGTCCTGAGCAGCAGATTACCCTGCTGCACCACAACTCCCAACTGCAGATCTCTCTCACTCTCTCTCTGCCTTTCAAAAGAATATCGAATGAACATTAAAAAAAAAAAAAAAAAAAAAAAAAAAAACAGCAGTCAGATACACTCTGATCGCTGCACAAAGCTGTGATTTATATCCTGTTGGTTGAGACTGTTCTTTTGTTTCTCTCTGAAAATAAACCATGCCACCCTAGGGGGCCGGGTGCAGTATTTTAGCTTCACGGGACATTGAACTCAGGCCAGGCTCCCAGCAGTGCGACTCCACATATAAATCAGAAATCCTGAGAAAGCGCATAGCCGAAGCATGGTCACTGCTCAGGACTGTGTTCCCAGGGAGTCATTAGTGAAAGATGCCCCTAGGAGGTGCACTACAATACTGATTATACTGGCAGTGTTTGAACTACCCGGAAGGCTAACAGTGGGTGACGGGCCAAATACACCGCGGTATGGGTGTGCAGTGAAATCTAAAAGATGCTGTGGAAATTTTTAAGATTTGTATATTTGAAAGGCAGAGTTACAGAGAGAGAGGAAGAGACAGAGATCCATGATCCATCATCCGTCTGCTGGTTCACTCTCCAGATGCCTGCAATAGCCACGGTTAGACCAGACCAAAGCCAGGAGCCTGGAACTCCCTCTGGGACTCTACCTGGGTGGCTTGAAGCGGCACTCCTGTGGGATGCCGGGGTTGGCTGCCCACAATGCTGGCCCTGGGAATCTAGTTCTTAACATCCAGAAATGGGCTCTGGTCTTTCCTTCCTTATTTGAGAGGCAGAGACAGAGACAACTCCCATCTGCTGCTTCACTCCCCAAATGCCTGCAATGGCTAGGACTGGGCAGGCCAACGCCGGGAGCCAGGAACTCCATCCAGGTCTCCCACATGGATGGCAGGGGCCCAGCGTGAACCATCACCCGTTCCCTCCCAGGGTCTGTACTAGCAGAAGCTGGACTTGGGGTGTGGGACATGAACCAGGTTCTTCAGAATGAGAGGCTGCTGTCTTATCCAGTGTCAGAACTTCTAGGGCAAACACCTACCCCACTATATACTCTTCTTTTTACAATTTATTTATTTTATTTGAAAGGCAGAGTTACAGAGAGGCTGAGATAGAGATCTTCCATCTGCTGGTTCACTCCCCAGATGGCTGCAACGGCTGGAGCTGCACCCATCTGAAGCCAGGAGCCAGGCAGGAGCTTCTTCTGGGTCTCCCACATGGGCGCAGGGTCCAAGTACTTAGGCCATCTTCCACTGTTTCCCAGGCCATAGCAGAGAGCTGGGTCAGAAGTGGAGCAGCCGGGACTCGAACCAGCACTGCAGATGGCGACTTTACCCTCTATGCCACAGCGCGCCCCCCCCCATACTCTTAAAGTTTAAAAAAGCATGCTACACAGCAATATATTTTGCTGTTTTTTTTGTAAAATATAAATTGTACATATCAAAGTACTTCAAAATATTTGTGAGAAAATGAAATTAAAAGATATTTATAAAATGTATTTATTTTGAAAGTTACAGAGAAAGAGACTGTCCATCTTCCGGTTCATTCCTCAGATAGCTACAACGGCTGAGCCAGGCTGAAGCCAGGCGCCAAGGGCCTCCTCCGAGTCTCCCCCTTGAGTGGCAGGGCCCCTAGCACTTGGGCCATTCTCCACTGCTTTTCCCAGGCCATACCAGGGAGCTGGCTCAGAAGCACAGCAGCCAGGACCAGACTGGTGCCCTTATGGGCATGCAGGCAGCAGCTTTACCCGCTCTACCACAGTGCCAGCCCCCAGAGATGTTTATTTCTAAAAGATGTTTATTTTGGTGCAAAGAAATTTAGAAATCTGTATATAATTGTTTTTGATAATATTCATTTTCCATAAAATTTTGAAGACCCCTTATATGCACGGATTTGAAAAACATTTGCTCCAAAATAAACTTATCTTTCAATTCCACTTTCATGAGACCCCTGTGCCGGCTGCTGTGTCTGGATATGCACACAGAAAGTCTGGAAGAGATCCATGCATGACTGGATGATGGATACTAGGTATTTTTGTGGGTTTTTTGGTTTAAAAATGGATTATTTTTATAGCTTTCAGTAAATGTAAATAAAACAAGGGGAACAATACTTTTGATCTTTTCTGACGCCTTGTGGCTCTCACTTAAAAAAAAATCCCCACTGCCCATGAGGTGGCACCTAGCTGCTCGCAGGAGCGCTCAGGATGTGCAGCCAGGCCTCGGTCAGCAGAGGGCGCCCTCGCCTGCGTCCTGCGAGGCCCCACTGTGGTTCCCCAGTTCCCTGCAGCAGCGCTGGGCCAGATGCTGGCTCGGAACTACAAGAGCTGCCCCAGCCTGGCGTCGGGGCCTGCCGGGAGGCGCCTGGCTCGCTGGAATACAGGGTTCTTAGAAGCAATTTGTTCAGCCACCGTGCCATGAATGTTGTCGGAGTCTAGATCTCCCTGGAGACCGCCTGTGGCCAGAGAGCTGGCGAACTGGCAGACGGCCCACGCTCCTGCTTCCGCCCTCCTGCTCGTGCCTGTCCTGCATGCTTCCTCCACCTCTGCAGACGCAGCCCCACCTCGCACGGCCACCTCAGCCCTGCGTGGTGTTAGCCCCGGGGCCCTGTGTCAACAGGTGAAGTCCCGCGTGGCCTTCGGGAAGCCCCTGGTGGAGCAGGGCACGATCCTGGCGGACATCGCGCAGTCCCGCGTGGAGATCGAGCAGGCGCGGCTGCTGGTGCTGAAAGCCGCGCACCTCATGGACGTGGCGGGAAACAAGGTGGGCAGGGCGGGCTGAGGTCAAGGTGGGGGAGCTGGGTCTTCCGTCCTCATTCCGCAACGAGGACTGGACAAAGTCTGGCTTCCCGACGTTCAAAGTCTGTCCGCACTGCTTGGAGCTATTTGGGCAGCTTTTTTTTTTTTTTTCTAAAAGTCCAACCTTTTTCTCTTTTTAATGTTATTTTCACGTGCTATATATGTCTATATTTTTAATGTGTATTTGTTCTCATCTTCTTGAAAGGCCCACAACAGCCAGAGCTGGGCCAGGTCTAGACCAGCCTGGAACCCCAACTGGGTCTCCCACATGGGTGCCAGGGCCCAAGCCCTTGAGTCACCATCTCGCATTAGCAAGAAGCTGGATCAGAAGCGGAGCAGCCGGCGCCTGAGCCGGCACTCCGGTCTGGGACGTGGGCATCTCAGGTGGCAGCCTGACCCTCTGTGCCCACACCCACCCTGCAGCTTTTCAAACAGGAAGGACGTCCGAGAAGAGGGTGACCTCTCTGTTTCCCTGGACTGGTTCCCGAGGCCTGACAGGGCCTTGTACTCCCAGGGCCACTGGTGCAGGTGTCCAACAAATGGAAAAGAGGCCTCTACCAGCCGTAATCCAAACGTAGCTTCAATTGTCACCAGCCACTCATCTCCAGGTCTGATGGCCTTCACTGACCTCTGCCTTGTCCAGCCTTCTGGGGGCAGCCCCTCCCCCTGGCCGGGAGACTGTCAGGAGGCGGGCCCAGGCTCCGTGCCGGGTATGCCGGCAGCTCTCGGACCCCTCACTCGAATGTCGTGACGGCGGCAGATCCTGGCAGCTCGGTCTCCTGCGGCCCTGGCCGGCCTTGGCCCCCACTGCTTGGAGGCCCCCACGGGGCTGGGGTCCTGAACGAAGCAGCTGCTTCCTGTCTGGCCCTCTGTGCTGGTGGGAGGGTTTCAGGCGCCCCTTCCCGTTCCGAGTCGCCCTCGTGGTTACCAGCACCGCACCCTCCGTCCTCAGGCACTGGGCCGGCACCGGCAGGCACCGCCGCAGGGCCCCGTGCTGAGCCTGGGTCTTTGCTGCCCCCTGTGGACCCAGCTGTCCCAAGCACCCTGCCCTCGGGGCTCTAGCGCTGCTTCTCTTCCTGCTCCTTGCAGGCCGCTGCTTTAGATATTGCCATGATTAAACTGGTGGTGCCGTCCACGGCCTCCCGAGTGATCGATCGTGCTATCCAGGTGAGCCCGGGCTGGACAGGCCTCCTGGCCTCTGGCTGTGCCCGACAGCCGCTGCTTAGCCCCCACTCCCCGCGCACGCGCTCTTCGCTTCCCCCGTGGGAGCAACCCTAGCCCCATTGGGAGTCAGAGCCCAGAGAAGTGGGGGGACTTGTCCAGGTCACCCAGCTGGCGAGCAGCTGACCTCACACTGACGCCCCGGGGCCGCCTCCCCTCAAATCCCAATGCCTGGCCCCAACCCGGGGCTTTCCTGGGAGTGGAAGCCGCCCTGCAGAGCTGCAGTGGTCACGGGTGGGGACATCCCTGGGAGAGCACCCGCCATTCACAGCAGCCGCGGGTGCGGGGCCCTCACGGGAGGACTCAGGCCCCCCCCCCCCCCCCCCCGTGTCTTCCAGGCCTTCGGGGCAGCAGGCCTCAGCAACGACTACCCACTGGCGCAGTTCTTCGCCTGGGCCCGGGCACTGCGCTTCGCCGACGGCCCTGACGAGGTGCACCGGAGGACGGTGGCCCAGATGGAGCTGAAGCGCCGCGCCTAGCCCTGCCGGGCTGCAGGAGCCAGGCAGCCTCACCCCGCCAGCCTCGCCCGGCTCCAGCGGTGTGCCTGGGGAGGCCCGGCCTGCATGAGGCTGGCACCGCGCCCGGCAGCTCTGCCTGGGATAGAAGACGTTTCTGTGCCAAGTCCTCCGGTTGTTTAGGGCGGGGAGGAAAGGGACGGGCCGAGAGCTGGTCTCCCGTCTCATGCCCCCTTATCTGGCCCTGGGAACCGGAGCACGGATCAGGAACCCTGCTGGGGCTCCAGCAGCCGCAGCCCCTGCTCTGTGGGGCCTCCGGCCTGGATCCCCGGGCCCAGAGTGCTTCTGGGAAAGCAGGATGAAACCAAAACCCTGAAGCCACTGCAGCTGATTCTCTTCGAGTGTCCACAACCTAGAACGCTGATCAAAGTGTTGTTTTGGAAGGGGGTGGGGGTCACAGAACAGTAAGGAGACACGTCTGAGACTCTGAGCTTCTGTCAGCTGCAAGCAGTGGAGAATAAAGTCCCCCCCACCCCATCAGCACCCCCTCACGCTTCTGTCTGTCCCCGCTGGATCTCGTCTGCGCCCCAGACGCATCAGGGGTGTGGATGCTGGGACCCGTGGGTCCCGAGTCACCGCCTCCCCACTACCTCTCTCTGGATTCTGCGCTCCTATTAGCTTCCCCCAAAGAACCGTGGCACCGGCCCCTCCAACTCGCACTCCCCGTGTGCCTCGCGGGCACAGAATCCGCGGGGAGGAATGGCAGTGCTCGCTCACTCGGGTCTGAGCCCCCTGAGGGACGGGTGCCCTGAGAGCTGAGGTGGCCGGTGGGCATAAGCCCTGGGCCGCTGACCCGACCCCTGTGGCTGTGCGGCCAGAGCCCGCCGCCCTTCAGCCCGGGAGCCTGCTGCCCTGCCGTCCCCAGCACCACCACGTGCTGCAGCCAGGACCCCGCGCTCTGCTTTGTACGGATTTCCACGTCCCGGCTGCAGCCCCAGTCCCCACCTCTCCCTGCTGTCTTTCTCCCTTGAAGAGCCCCAGTCGTCCCTGCAGAGGCTGGGAGGGGGTGGTTTGTGCACAGGCTCCTTAGATACACTTGTCCCAAGCTGTGTGGGGAGCCCGTCTGTCACCCAGGGATGGGAGAGCTACACTCAGCCCCCGCGCTAACTGCCCCGACAGTGCCAGCCAGCCTGGCAAAGAACCCTCGCACACTGGCAGGATTCTCGAAGCCCGAGTTCTCATGTCAGCCCCAGGCCTCAGGGCCGAAGAGGGACTTTTTAGAAGGAAGTGGTCATGGCCTGACCTGTCACATGGCACTGAGGATTCTTCCTGGCCTTGGAGGCTGACCTTGCTCGTCCAGTGGTGCAGCTGTAGGATGACCCCACACCTCCCGGATGCCCGGCTTCAGGGGCCGGGGGCCCTCAGGCTGCCTCCAGCAGCCCTGGTCGGTGTCTAGTTCAGCTAGGCAGTTTCACTCATCGCTATCTTGCGAGTCCAGGCTCTGAGCCAGGCCTGGGGGGTGTGCGGGTGAATACAGTGGGTAAAGCTGCTGCCTTGGTGGGGTTTGCGTCTCAGTGGGGGGAGGTGGCGAGTGCCCTGGACGACGGTGGTGGGTGCTTGGCACACTCCTGGGTGTCTCGGAGCGACATTTTCTAGAAGATGCGTTGGAGCCAGCAGCTGCATGGCAAGAAGAAAGGCAAGTTTCGAGAGGTGGGAGCAGCAAGGGACAGGCCCTGAGGATGGGGGGGGGGGCGCTGGAGGAGCAGGACAGAGGATAGGAGGTGGGCCAGGTGTCAGTTTCATGGCGATTCCCCGTGTGACAAAGTAGTGATGTGATATGAATGATGGGTTTCTAAAAGAATCTTCCCGGGGCAGGCGTTTGGCACAGAGGTTGAGTTGCTGTGTGGGATGCCCACGTCCCACGTCAGAGTGCCTGGTTCAAGTCCCAGCTCCCCTGCTTCCAATCCAGCTTCCTGCCGTTGCACACCCTGGGAGGCAGCAGCTGGTGGCTCAAGTACCTGGGTCCCTGCCACTATATTGGAGACCTCGATTGAGTGGTGGGCTCCTGGCTTTAACCTGGTCCAGTCTGGCTGTTGTGGGCATTTGAAGGGTGAAACAGCAGATGGAAGATTCTCTGCCTTTCAAATAAAAAAAAAAAAGATAAAAAAATTCAAAAATCCTTCCATCACCCAAGGTCACTGGGATGAAGGCGGCGCCGAGGAGGGGCTGAGCCTGTTCGCAGCTCCGAGCTCCAGGAGGCCCACCTGCAAAACCTACCAAAAGACACATGCGAAAGAGCCAGAGAGTCAGAGGAAACTACACCCAGCCTCATTAATCTCTCAGTCGCCTCCAGCCCACGAGCAGATGTTTGGCTGTGGGCGCAGGCTTGGGTGTGAGCGAGCTGGTTTGGCAGTGAGCGAATCTGCCAGTTTTATTTATGGAATTCCACCCCTGCGAGACGGGACCTGCCTTGGAAAGGGAGCCAAACGTGATCGTCACACATGCACTTGTTCTTCCCTGCCGTATTTCGTCCCAGAGTGGCAGAATGCGCGTTCCTCTGCTCCCGTGCTGGCGAGCACCAGGGCTGGGCTCTGCAGGCCTGGCCCTCCGGGGACTGTCCAAACGCCCCTGGTCCTTGTGGTACCCGCCATCCCTGGAGGGGCCTCCTGCAGCCCCGTGGGGGCCTGGCATCCACAGGCTGCTTGCAAACACGGTCAGATAATCCCAGGAGCAGTCCGAGTTCTGGGCACCTTGCCTGAAGCCTGCAGCTGGGAGGGAAGCCTGCAGAACAAGCTGCAGTGGCCCGCCACACGTCCCCAGCCTTGGAGTGGCTCTCCGGGGACAGCCCTGTCTCTGCCCAGCTGGGTCCTAACAGCTCCCCAGGGATGCCTCGGGGCTCGCCTCTTTGCAATCACCGAGGCCAGGGCACTGGGCTGGTGAGCACCCCCAAGGCCCAGCTGCAATGCTGTTCACACCGCTCTCCGTGCTGCCACGCGGCCACAGACTTCTCCCTACATCAGTGTCCCCCGAATGCCATGAGGCACGAGCCTCAGAGCAGATGGGGTCCAGCCCCAAGTGACAATCTCTTAGACCAGGATTTGGGACTGAGTTTCTTTTAATCAAGTTGACTGCGTAGAGAAATGGCCCGGGAAGGACGGACAGTACACGAGCTGTGAAGATGGACCTGCCGCGGTGAGGACATGCTGTCATCAGTCAGGTGCCATTGCCGAAGGGAACAGGCCAGCACCAGCTGGACTCGACTGTGATTTGTGCAGGGGTGACTGGGCCTCTTCAAGGGAGAAAGACAGCAGGGAGAGGTGGGGATGGGGCTCGAGCAGTGGGGAAGTGGAAATTTATACAAAGCAGAAGCACGGGGAGACCCGTCCATGTACCAACACAAGGCTCCTGACTCCCCCCCACCCCGCCCCGGCAGAGGCTGGGAGACAGGTCTTAGGGGACACCTGGGCCCACAGTGACTTCTCTGGGCAGCTTGGGGCTTTCTCAGGCACTTCAAGGGCCTAGGGGGTCCTAGCGATGGGACGTTGAACTGCTAGAAACACCGTGTGCCGTGTTAGTCTTTCCCCAGGAATGGAGGGCAGGGGAATCATTTGTGCTGAGAATCTGCAGTTTGTGTAGGCCAAGGCCAAGGCCAAGGCCTGTTTAAGACGACAGCTCAGAGGAGCCTGGCTAGAGTTTGATGAAAGATGGTTCTGGATTCAAAAGACCCACATTACAATGGATTTGAAGGGCCGGTCTGTGGACCAGCAGGTCGAGCCACCACCTTCAGTGCCGGCATTCCATATGGCACCAGTTCTAGTCCCAGCTGCTCCACTTCCCATCCAGCTCTCTGCTGTGGCCTGGGACAGCAGTGGAAGATGGCCCAAGTCCTTGGGCCCCTGCACCCACATGGGAGACCCATAATAAGCTCCTGCCTGACTCCCGGCTTTGGATTGGCACAGCTCTGACCACTGTGGCCATCTGGGGAATGAACCAGCCAATGGAAGCTCTCTCTCTCTATCTCTGTAACCCTGCCTTTCAAATAAATGAATGAATCTTAAAAAAAAGTTCTCTTTTTTTAATCACACCAAAGACTTATTCAAGACTAAGAAAACAAATAAAGAATGTGTAAGAGTAAAGAGAGCCCATACAGGCTGTCAGGGAGAGATTTAGGTTGAGAGTTAAATTTTATTTTTTCAAGATCTACTTTTATTTCTTTGAAAGGTGGAGCTACTGACAGAGGGAGAGACACAGAGAGAGTTTCTATCTGCAGGTTCACTCCCCAAAGGGTCATAACGGCCAGGGCTGGACAGACTGAAGCCAGGAGTCAGGAGTTTCTTCTCAAACACTTGGGTCATCTTCTACTGCTTTCCCAGGAACATTAGCAGGAAGCTGGATCAGAAGTGGAGCAGCCGGGACATGAACTGGTGCCCATATGGGATGCCGGCACTGCAGGTGGCAGCTTTACCCACTATGCCACAGTGTCGGCCCCGAGAGTTAAATTTTAATGAATTCTCTGGGGGACTGAGCCAGCAGAGCTGTCACTGCTGGGGTTTCAGCTCATCCCACTGACCTTGAACGAGAGTGTGAAGGCAGCTGAGAGAGGCTTCCCCAGGTGATGGCCCTGTGGGATGGAGGGGGGATGGGGAGGGAGGGGGGAGGGATGGGGGAGGCGGGGGGAGGCAGGGGGAGGCAGCTGCTGGCAGGGGGGATGCTGAGCACTCAGGACAAACTGGAACACGTGACCTGGGAACCACACGCGCACCAGGCACGTGGGCGGGACTCAGCGGGGAGCTGAGCGGCCCTCCTTCCCCTCCCCACTCACTGCTTCTGCACCTGGCTCAAGGGCACCCTCCGTGCCCTCCCACACCCGCCCCAGTCATCATTCGGTCATGCTTCAGCCAGGCGCTGGTTGCCTCTCACTGCAGCCCTCAGCCCGGGCCATCGCCGTCCCGAGGGAGCCCTCCGGAACACAGGCCCAACCTCATCCCTAACCTTGCTAAGAGAAAAGAAATGAGGAGACACCGCGACTTGGGAGAACGCTTCAGGGATGAAAGCGTTCACATGACGAGCATGCGAACTGGTCCAGGAGAGGCTGTTACACAGACACTGAGCTGCTTCAGGCAATTCGTGGGAGAAAGATAACCGATGGTTGCAAACCCAAGGATTCGCACCAGAGATGACGAACTGGAATGCCCGGATACACAGAAAGCTCCTATAAACCAGTGTTAAAGAAGCCAACAACCAACCGAACAGAACCACGGGACGTGGACGCAGCAGGGAAACACGCAGCCCACGGGCACAGGCGCACCCACCCATCCATGAGAAACCAAGACGGATGTGATGGTGACGCGCCGTCTTCTGCCAGCTGATCACAAAACCCAACAGCAGCCTGGTCACAAACCCCACTGGAATGGGTGTTAGAAACTCAGACGCCACGGGGTTGGGGTAAGAAGTCAAGGCTCATGGCGGTAGTGCAGACTGTCCTTGGCTTACTGTGATTCAGCCAACAATCTCAACCGTGCAAAAAGGCCTTTTGCGTC